CGAAGGATCTTCTGCTGCGGTCATGTGCTGATATTATTGATTACAGCAACAAAGTGAAGAAACGGAAGTTTACCGAAACTGTTGAGCTACAAATAGCGTTGAAAAACTATGACGTTCAGAAGGACAAGAGGTTCACCGGGACTGTGCGGTAAGTTTATGAACCCCTACCCAGGGTTCTAAAATTGTGTGGGGAGGCCGATCGCCGCATATTACAAGTCGGATCTTATTGTAGACTAAAGCACATCCCACGTCCCAGAATGTCTGTGTGTGTGCTTGGGGACGAACAACACTGTGACGAGGCCAAAGCAGCAGGAATTCCATGTATGGATGCGGAAGAATTGAAGAAATTCGGCAAAGAGAAAAAGCCGTTGAAAAAATTCGGTAAGTTGACATTATGCACTAATGTTTGCAGCCAAGAGTTATCACGCTTTTGTCGCTAGTGAAACCATCATCCGTCAGTTTACAAGGACAGTGGTTCCAATCCTAACCAAGTACGGAAAGTTTCCAAGTGCAGTCACACACAACGAGCCACTAATGAATAAAGTTGACGAAATAAAAGCTACAGTCAAATTCCAGATGAAGAAGGTTCTCTGCCTGAATGTCGCTGTTGGCCACGTAAAAATGACTCCTGAGGAGCTGGCTCAAAATATCAACTTGTCAATAAACTTCCTTGTAACGCTATTGAAGAAGAATTGGCAAAACGTCAGGTGTTTGTACATTAAAAGTACTATGGGTAAACCGCACAGGTTGTACTAAATACAATTATAATCGGGTACTCGTTACTTCTCAACAAACACTTTAATCATCGGTTCCTGCTATGATGCAACTTTACATCGGTTATATGGTACGAGGTGATGTGCAATTAGGTCCGAGCATTGGATGACAGTGCATTTAGTGTATCTTTCCCGTCAAGTTAATTGACTGTCGTGACTTAAAACCTAATCGTATCACAGTCCGACACGAGGGCAACGCGTTGGTACTCCATATGGCTGAGTAAAATCATAGGTGTGTATTTCATGTTCTGTCAAATGTGTTGATGCTTCCTTACTACTCAACGTGACTCATGAAGAGTTTGGCTGCAAGATGGTCATTGTCCTCCCGTTCCGTGTAACAGGGTGAAAGCGTATAACAAAGCCAACCATTTTAGTTGTGAGGCCAAGTAGGAATAATTAGTTCTCTCCTTCGCAACTGTTTGATGCGGAAACCAGCCTCAGTTTTACACGAAATTTCCTAATTTATGTGTGTCAGTAGGTTCTCAGTAAGGACCGCTCGCCTTCCCTACCCACTGTCACAGACTGACGTTCATGAGGTTTCGAACTTGATGTGTAAGCCCATTGGAGGTAATATGTTGTGAAACCGTCGAGGGAGTATTTATTGGTGATCTGTGGGGATAGGGTTTGTATGTGGCTGTTGACAAGCTGCAAAACTCCTAAAGGTGTCGTTACAGGGAAACGACTATGACCCTCCCCGGGAAGACGAACTAAGACGCCTCGATCTACTTCCGTGATATCGCAGGTACGCTGTCACCAGATACTATCATCGTACACTGAACGATTTTCATATTAATCTGTGTTGTCTTGTGCCTCCATATTCGCCGGAGCATCAAGTCGTTTACGTCTTGGGTTTCGTTCGCCACATTAGTCGATAAAACGTTTGCTTCATGTAGTCATCGTTCGGATTATTCGTCACAGGTCATAAATAAAAATGCTCACAAGCATTGTATACACTCCTGGGACCTACCTGTTAATGGTGCAGAATAATTGACTGGTGTGTCTAGATAACGTTTTCGCACGCGTTTCATTTTGTCGTGTAAGTCCCTGGATTTCGTGATGTGTAATGTATACGATTTTGTGAAAAATAAAACCAATTATCGAACTAGTTTATACTGCTAGGGTTTGTTAATCAGTCGACATTTCGTACGTAAACTGCTGTAGTTCCTTTGTTAAGTCGAGATAGCTGAAATAGTGCGCAAACTCAGCTTCCGTAGGCGTAGTAAAAATTCAGTACTGTAGTGTCTGAACGATAGGCTTCCCAACTACTGAGAGTCCATATTGTACGAATTTAATGTATGATTAGGTCCGAGTTTTTAAATGTCGACTACTTATTTCCCGTCCACTCCTATGTAAATGCTAAAGGGTTTGAGTAACTGAGGATTTCAGCCTAGGCGGTGACAACGGTCACTAGACATATGTACGTAATCAGTCTCAGTGGTGAGATTACTTAAGATTTCGAGTTCATTAATATAAACAAACTTCGTTTTCAATACTATAGTGTTAATATATTGACTACTTTCAAATAAAGTCATACATATATCACATTCGTCAACATGAGGAATTCATACGACGGCCTACAGTGATTGGAGGACAGCTGATAGAAGTATTCCAAGTGAGGACGCGGGTCAGACGGCTGCTTACTCTCGCCCTTCCTCTTTCCTCTGGTAATTGACTATATTATATATATTATGACATTTGACAGGAAGCACGGAATAAAATGTACAGGTTGGATGCAACTAGACGATTTGAACTTCGCAGATGATCTAGCTCTTCTGTCCGATACACACGAAAAAAATGAAGTACAGATAATTAGTGTATCAGCGGTAGGCCTCAAAATACACAAGAGGAAAACCAAGATCCTCAAATACAACAGGGAGAATACCGATCCAACCACACTTGACGAGTAAACTCTGAAAGAGGTAAAAACATTCACGCACCCATCTGAGCAGCATCATCGATGGACAAGGAGGATTCGATGACAGCGTAAATGCAAGGACTGATAGAGCAGGCACAGTACTACAGTTGAAGGACATATAGAACTCAAAACGACTGCCAATGAATATCAAAGTCATAATCTTCATTACGAACAAATTGGTTATAGGCGGTACAATATTTCCACACAAAGCTACATGGATATCACCGGATCACACCACAGATAACCAGACTGGTCATTTTTGTATCAATAAAAATTCAGAAGGACAATGGGAGATGCGAGAACCAGGAGAGGAGGTGACAGAGCTTCAGACCACCACCTAGTTGTGACCAAGATGAAACTGAAGCTAAAGAAACACTGGACAACTGGGGGAACAGTATTATAAAGGTTCAATACAGTCTTCATTCCAGATAGTAACAAGCCCGACGAATTCAAGACAACTCTCAACAACAGGTTCCAAGCCTTACAAGGTCTACTCAAAGAAGAAGAAACCACTATGGAGGGCAACTAGGAAGGGATCAAAGGAACAATAACTTCAACATGTCAGGAGGTTCTGGACCGCAACAAGCATCATCATAAGCAGTGGGTCTCTATGGAATCCCTGGACCAGTAATCAAGAAAGGAAAATCAAGAAAACAACAATCAACAACAGTCGGAAAACAACAAAGAAAGGCGAGGCGCAGGCCGAATACACAGAAGCAACAAGCAAGTGAAGATGAGCACTAGAGTCGCCAAACAGAAATACGTGGATGACCTAGGAACGACAGCGGAAAACGCTGCAACAGAAAGGAATACCAAACAGCTAAATGACACAATGAAGAGACTGGTAGGGAAACATAGTAAGCAAGAGAGACCGGTCAGCGAAAAAGAAGGCAAGCCAATTACTGAAATCCAAGAACAGAGGAACAGAAAAGTGGAACACTTCGAAGAAATCTTGAATAAACCAGCTCCATTGAATCCACCACACGTCAAAACAGCACACACAGACCTTCCTAGGGATGTCACTCGATCAGCGAACGAAATCAGCAGGGTCATCTGACAAATCAAGAGTAGGGAAGCAGCAAGACCTGACAATATACCAGCCAAATCACTCAAGTCAGACATAGAAGTAACTGAAATCATGTTCCATGTTCTATTCAGGAAGATTTTAGAGGAGGAACAAGTGACGACAGACTGGAAAGAAGGGTACCTCACCAAGAAAAGGAGATCTGAGCAAATGTGAGAACTATATAGGCATCACATTACTATCAGTACCACGAAAGGTTTTTAACAGGGTGTTGCTAAACCGGATGGATGACTCAATAGACGCCCAACTTCAATATCAACAGGCTGAATTCCGTAAGGACCGGTCGTGCACATACCAAATCGCGACGCTACAGATAATCGTTGAACGGAACTCGTCACCATACATCAAAAAATGCAGGTCGCGACAAAGTGTAGTAGCAGTAGGTCTTAACATACACGACGGAAAAAGCAACATCCCCAAACACAACTCGTAGAACGCCAACCCAAGCACACTTGATGGAGAAACTCTGGAAGAGGTGGAAACTTTCACGTACCCATCTGGACAGCATCATCGATGAACAAGGAGGATACGATGAGAACATAAAGGCAATGATTAGCACAGTGAGAACAATATTCATACAGTTGAAGAACATATGGAACTCAAAACGAATGCCAGTCAATATCAAAGTCAGAATCTTCATTACAAACGTAGAGATAGTTCTACTGTACGGAGTTGAAACCATTATCAAAAATGCACAAGTATTTATAGACAATTGTCTACGTAAGATACTGAATGTCTGTCGGCCGGATACCATCTGCAACAACCTACTGTGCGAGAGAAGAAACTAGCTACCGGCTGAACAGAAAGCTAGGAAAAGACGTTGGACGTGGTTATGACACACATTGTGGAAATCATCAGACTGCACCACAAGGCAAGCGCCAACTTGGAATCCTGAAGGGGAACGAAAAAGAGGGAGGCCAAAGAACACACTGCTCCGAGAATTGGAAGCAGACATGAAAAAGAATAGCAACTGGGAAGGATTGCTCGGGACGGAGTTTGACGAGAAGTCCTGGTGGGTGGCCTATGCTCATCCATGAGGGGTAACAGGCGTAAGTAATATATCACATAACCTGATTACCAAATAAATAAGAAAATCAGGTGTTCAGGATATCGGATAATCGATTATTATCCATGTCCATTTGAAGTAGTAATCTGAACTAGTCTGTTCAACAAGTTAAAGAAACTCATATGTTGTGTGGTTTTTCATCAATTTAAAAGAAAACTGCAGTTAGAACATTAGTGAGGTAAGTTAGGAAGCAGAAATCAATCTACCTCTTTAAAAATAATTGTATTTAATAAAAAAAAACCAAATTAGATTGCACCATACCAATAAAATTCTGAGGAAAATAGAAGTGAACAAGATGAAGATGAACCAACATGTCAACAAATCAAGAATTAATTATTTTTCAGATTTCAGATGTAAAAGCTTGTATATGGAGTTCATATCCTCGTCCATTTTTTTATCTAACAGACTGAGTTCACTTTCACCAGTATTCAATAAATCTGACATTTGTTGATTGACTATCGATGCTTTTTGGAAAAATTCGTAAGTGCAATCGAGATGAGCCTAGTATTTATGTATTCGAAAAAAACATTTGAGGTAATAATAACTGTGAAAATAAGTCTAACAAAAGAATGCATATGTTAACAATTGGTCGACCAATAAGTTCTTAGTGCTAACCTAATTCTTACGATCAGGTTGCAGCGTGGTCACTAGTCTACGTGACTGGAAATCTTGTGCAACTCAACATGCATACGATATCACAATGCTGCAAGTTGGTCGATATCACTCGATCGGCATTAAGTAAGACTTGTTGCACACTTGTCGATTTCTAATACTGATATTATCTACCTGTTGTGAAAAATGAGTCATATTAAATCCAAAACTATTCCACCACTTGAACCAATACAATCTAGAGAATAATTGAAAATCAGGGAATACTGGACAGGTATTTCACTTTATTTTGAGTTAGAAATGATCAATGCAAATTCTACACAGGTTTGAGCTTATCGCTGTCAAGTGATGTAGGTAACATGCATGCTACCACTATACTCATTTAAAGTTAGAAACCGGCGATATGTATCTTCCTAACTTCAGTCAAACTATAACTCAAAACAAAAGGTACATAATGTAGACTTCGACTCTGATTATGTGAACATCATCTCACTGTATGATGATACGCATGCTGCCCAACTTGATCATAATTAGTTGGGAATCAATGTCCTTAGGTACAGAGTATATGAATCTTCAAAATCTAGAGTAAACCCACAAGACTTATAGAAGCCTGCAAGTACACTTTTTATAATGAACCATTAGAAATGTTTGTAAAGTTCGCGCATGTAGGTACAGCGTGAACCAGAACAGTTTATGACATTGTGAGTTAACTTTGGCGTTGATGTAATGTTATTTTAGCTGCAAAAATTCTGGTTTACAGTGTGTTAATCAGAGTAGTTTTAGTTTATCAATGTAAAACCTGTCTCCTCCAAGTTCAAGAAATTCGGCAACCTTGTGTTCGATTATTGCTTTTCACATTTAGTGACAACATTGTGTTAGTAATACATGGGCCCAGTAGTGTGTATTCAGACGGTGATGACAATTCAATCAGTGTCACCAGCTTAAAACACTGACTTCGGTGACTTAGCTATGTTTTATGAATGTCACCTCACCGACTGCCACACTCTTTGTCGATACTGGGACTGAGTGGAAAAGTGCGTAAATGTGGTATATATATATATAAACTACCTTAACTGAGTGGGTTTCTTAAACTGTATTTCTCAAATGCACTGTTTATATTGTCAAATATTATTTCTGTTCATTTCTTAGTCGATTATACTACCCATGGTGTATTTATTTTTCACAATGTTATTACGATATTTTCATGGGAGATTTTTTTATATTCCAAACATGTAAAACTTTTTGTCATATATAAGTACCACACTATTCAATACGATTGTTTGGATTTCGATAATTTCTGATTTTAATTTGAAATAAGAAGATACTACCTATTTCTACAGACTATAAAAAACATTGATCAGGTTATTTTATTTAAAGAGTGTGTCACTAATAAAAAAATCATTTTAAACTATAATTTCTTTTAGTGTATTAATTTTGTAAACGTAATATACACATTGAGACAAAAAAAGATTGGTTGGGAAATTTCTCTTTACAGCGAATTCATATTCAAAGCTGTATAGTCACAAATAAATACTTATTTCACAAAATGATAATAATAACAGTATGATTGATAATTAAATTCTTCTAAACATGGTAATAGTGAGGTAAAACAAATGAAGGCATAAACATATTATTTTAATTAAGGTATCTGATAGTAATGTTGTTGTTGAGAGGTTGAGTATTGAACATGAGGATCAATAGGGAAATTATAATTGGAAAGGGAAAGTTCCAAGTGATAAGACGAAAAATTTGAAATTTAGATTAACTGTAATCAGGAAAAGTATAGAAATAGAGACAAATCAATTGGGGTTAAAAAGTCTGCAGAGAAAATAACGTTTTACTGCCTTTACCTATTGAACTTCACTGATACAAAGTTTATCAGATTTTTATCACTATTATTGTTATTAATTATCATTTTGATTAATAAGTATATATTTGAGACAGTATAGCTTCAAAAATGAGTTTGCCATAATGAACTCTTCGATGAACCAATCTTCCTTACTTTATTAGTTTTGTAATAAGGTACTCAATAAATGACTGACTTCTCATATGGAGGTTCAAATACAAAACATGACCAGATATTTTTATAGTTTTAAAAGTATTAAGTTAACAGATTTAGGCTAGTTTAACAGAAAAAGCATTAAAACAATTTGAAGCCGAAAAAGTACTCATCACGTAATTTTATGAGCTTCAACTAACATGATATTCAGATACAACCCATCGATTTCTATTCTTGTCAGTAAACTCGATGTGCAGAATACATTGGATGTATTGGTTCACCAGGAATAACGGAGGTTCTAATTTTACGATTCTTTTGAATCTAAACAGTAGCAAAATTTACATAGAACTATTTAAGACGGTTCAGCAAATAAATTTTTTCTTCATGACATCATCTACTCCACCAATGCAATCATATTTTTATCTGCCAAACTATAATAATCGGTTATTTCCCTCCTTAAACTACCTTCAGTTCCTCTATTAACACTCAACACAGTGAATTATCATTATGAGGTGAGCAACTAAATATTTTTGATTATTCGATGAAACCCTTCACTGTCATAAAAACGGAGTGTTCTCATCTAAGAAATCAATAATTTCGCAATATTTTGCTAGTCATACATAATTCATTTACAGAACGTTCTAAAATTAAATCTAAACATACAGAAAGACAACGTTTTACTGATAGCCAACAAACATAAGCGACTTCTGTTCACCTTTTAAAATTTAATATATTAAATATATGTTGGCCGGAGGTCTGAACCCTGACTTACTTCATTTGGTCTAAATAACTGTGTACTATTTGTTTGGCTTCAGATAAAATACGTGGCCGGTACATAAAAATGCATTTAGTCATTGTTTCACTAAACATAACGTTCTAACAATATTCTTTCTTTGAAATAAATTATCAGTGCTGGTGAAAGGGATGAGAAAAATGAATTAGATACTTACATGGAAGGATGACGATAAAAACACTTCTAACGTTGAAGTGAGATCTACCAAATTGACGTTTATTATGTATTCAATAGCGTGTAAACGACTTTTTAACGAATCAACTGATTGTGAAATCTGGAGATACAAGCAATAAAATTGGTGTTACCTTTTTATTCCTTCCTGAAATTTCATTTCCATTCTCTGGGAGTTCTGGTTTCCGAATTTTTCGACATTTCCGGTTGATTTCTTTTAGAATTTCTTCCCTCTCAACAAAAATGTCGTTTATAGAGGGTAGTATGCCACAAATTCTAGAAAATACATTCGGAAATTACCCTTACTTTTTCAAAGGTTCCAGGAGTGATTGTTGGTTTGTGTTTTTCTAAGTTTGAGATATAAATATTAAGATTAGAAATATATACATAACATTCGCATATATTCCCCACTGAGTACGCTAATTCACTTGTTGTAGCCCAGTATTTGGGATCGACACTAGGATTTCGTAAATTTCGTGAAGTATTAACGAACTCCTCTTCTTTCTTAGTAAATTCTAATATGTTTATAAAAAATTAGCCAGAAATACACACAATACTCACCATCTAATGTCTTTAGCCAAGTGGTTAGAACACTAACCAACTTTTTAAACAAATCCGCTGGGCTTGAATGTAGCAAAAATAATTCTGAAGAGACTGACTTACATATCAAGACCTGACATACCACGGTTAAGTTCAAATACTATTTGCTGAAGAGAAATAAGGGTTGATAGAAATACACGTTTTCAAATCGAGTATCAAAAAGTAATACATCATTACGAAGAAAATTTCGTGAAATTTCACATCTGTTCTTGACTCCCAATCTCCAGTTATTATTATTATCACTATAAAATGCATTAAGTGTTAAATCGAGCAAACCATATCTACTTGGTTAGGAAAAGCTTGAAAGTATTCCAACACAGAGAACTTGAAACTTTCAAAGGACTAAATCAATCACTAGAACCTAATTTTATAAAATCCGATTCCCGTAAAAATCTTCCAGACATAGATCTAAGTAAACAATACAGTTTGTTCTCACCTCAAACATAACCTGGTAGTATTAGTATATTATCCAAAATGGTAAGTTTCACACCATTTTCTTTATTATCTTTGTTTGCTTTCACCCTTCATTTGTCTAGTCTACCTTTTGCATATATATATATATATATATATATATATATATATATATATATGCTTTTAACAAGTATATACGTAATCGGATTGTTTGAAAAGTATTGGGCTAATATACCACAGTTCTGATATATTTCGTCCAAACTTACTAAAAGGAATAATTACTTTGAACTATCAGATATATTGTTTTTTTTTTAAAAACACTAGAGTGAATAGCCCATGTGCTATTCAGAACCTTTCTACAATATTTACGAAGGACTTCACCCTGAAAAACTGGCGAAGCCTCCTACCTTGTTGACCTATCGAAAAACAACTACGACACTTCAACATAGGAATATAGCTTGCTAGGCTTATCGGGAAGCATTGAGACGAGAACCCATGCATTACGGAAGATTAACAGTGGGGGTGATTATGAAGTACCATCTTCTAGCCTGACAAGAAAGTAGAAATACTGCAGAAAATATTTAGATGAGACATTGAATTATCCCAACGTTAGACGACAAAATCGACTGACCATATAGCTGGCCTTATAATCAGCTATAAAAGCAAATATGTGCCCATTCATAAAGTTATAAACGTTTGCCAATCTGCTACATAAACTTGAATAAAATAGTTCAAGGCTAAGTACTTAGTGCTACACTAAAGTTTATGATCTTTTTTGTATGGAAGTTAGGGGGAATTGTGCAGTCGATACTAGGTAAGAAAGAAAGTTACAGTTAGTAACTAAGAACTGGCTATCTAGCAGGATACGAATCTACGGATTGTTCTCACATCAGACAGAACTTTCAAATGTCTAGATCGTGTAAAACTGCATGAAGAATTGCTACATAAAGCGCTGATTCCAAGATTAAAAATTCGTTTTGGTATTAGGTAAAATACACAATTATTTATCAAAGAAAGGGAATAGTCTTCCGTTTTTAGATAGCTCAAGCAAATACTAAGCAATTCTTCAGCGTAATCAATTTCAAGATAAAAAAGAGGCTACATTGGTACACCAGCTGGAATTGATGTGACCAGAGTGCAGTCTGATTGCACACTACTTAAGTACCCGAATATTAACTTAATTAATACTCTCATCTACTCCCAAGTTTGTGAAATAGTAAGCATGCCCCCCATATTAATGAATATAGGCTTTCTAATGAGGTTCCGAAATATAATAGAGAAAACTCATTTTAGTTGTATTTTGGGAGCTTTCACTTTACCTTCCTTTTGAAGGCAAAGAAGCTGACGAACATAGAAACTCTATGAAAGAACAACAACAAGCCACAACCATATAGCCTCTTTCGTCATCTATTCTGTTCAAATGCATATTCATTCTTATTGAGGATTACGAGGTTGGAGTCGCGATGTTAAGTAAGATTGAGTAGTAACCTACTATGCCGTGACTAATGTCAAAAGGTTAATAAATATCTTATTTTCCAAGGAATCTACAACAGATTCTGCTTCATTGATATAAAAATGAGGATTTACAGATGGTTCCTGGTAAATGGATGATGTATGGAATTCTACAAAGTCAATTACTGAAAAATTTCCCCATGGATAAATCATTCAGGTCACTGAAGTGCTCTCGAAAAGAAACCTAGTATAATTGATTTACTGCTTCGTAGAATTTCCCTACGGAGCTACAGAGATTAGAACATTAAACGCCATAAACTAATACGCGGAGGACGAGAATGATGGAACTTTGGCATTCAGCGAATTCGCAAAAGTTCCTGGATGTCTTTTCCCTAATAACGACTTAAACGACTGCCAAATGATGAAAAACTAATTTCTCATATCAGTCAGTCAGTCAGTAACAACGTAGAACTTCGTACGTACATCAAATTGATTTGCCACACCACATTAGCACATAGATGCAGTGGTCGATTCAAATCGCTTAGTGGTAGAGGTAGTAAGAGTATAAGCAGTAATCGGGAAGATTAGTGTTTGGAAATGTTATTTCAAGAGTATAATACAGTGGAATAAATTTGGGAAAAGAAAAAAACGAGACAAGGAGGAGTAAGGAGATCAAAATTTGGGAGAACACAAAGAATGTATGCATTTGCGCCATTGCAAACGATTTTTAGCCATGTCATTCAGGGTCTCTAACCATCGGTTGCTATCATCTCGCGGTCCCCAACCGGGTAGTCTACACCTACCAACATGACTCAGTCCACTTGTCAGTGACTTCATGGACTTGTGCAATGTTTTGGTCTGGCCGCCCCTAGCTTTCTTCCAACCTACTCCTATTTATTTATTTTACCACATAGATATTGGTACAAGGAGGCACCAAATACATATGTGCCACACAAATCTCATCCGATATGTGTGAGGGCTGTGATACTGCCCGTGTGCCCGAACCTAAGTAGATGGTTTTCTTAGGAGGCCACTCCCCGAGCCTTCGACCTGAAGGTCTGACCCACAAGGCAGTGGAGCATCGTAAGGAGATGCAGTCCTATGGAAGCCGGTGACAAACAATTGGTTCGTACGCCATTTGTTCCCGCAGGATACTGGAGCCCATGTGCAACATTGGTTTGGAATCCGGTTAAAACGCCGGACATTCGCTTTTCGTCCTCTCAATTTCGCAAACAAGTGTGATGCCGCGAGAAGGCAGTGAGCAGGACTTCCCTGGTAGAGGCTATATACGCGTGGCCATGTGAGAGCATTTGGAGAGGGAGAGCGGACTCTTCCCACTCTCGGCCGTACCAGGGCATTTGGGGGCACCTACTCCTATACCACTGAGCATCGCTCGTCGAGGTAGTCGGTGGTTGGGCATACGTAACACGTGTCCCAGCCATCTCAACTGATGAAGTTTCACCACTTCATCAATCGATTTGCCATCCTTATCTAGTATCCGTTTCCTAACAACTGCACTACTTAGTCGATGGTCCCAGGATATACGAGTAATGTTTCGAAGACACCTACGATCGAATACTAGTAACCTACGAATATCCTCTACTCTTACTGGCCATGTCTCACTGCCATAAAGTAGGACGGAACGAACTGCTGCGCAGTAAACACGTCCTTTGGTCGATAGACGGATATCTCGCCTACGCCATAAATGACGCAAGTTGGCAAAAGCTAGTCGAGCCTTCTGTATCCGTGCTGAGATTTCGTCACACACCAGACCACAAGGGCTGATCAGACTTCCGAGATAAGTGAAGCGGTCGACACGCTCAACTACTTCACTCCCTATCATTAGTTCGGTTGTCGATGTAACCCAATCCTGAAGCAACATTTTGCATTTCGAGGGAGAGAATCGCATCCCGAACATGCTTGCATTGTTGCTTAGAGTGGTCAGAAGACTCTGCATTTTGTCAGCGTCTTCACCAAATAAAACTATGTTATCGGCATATTCTAAGTCAACAAGTGAATCTCCCGGTAAAAGTTAAACCCCTGTAAATTTAGATGAGGAGAGTGTTATCTCTAAAAGTACGTCAATGACAAAGTTGAACAAGAATGGGGAGAGTGGACAGCCCTGACGAACACCACTTGAGGTAATCAATTCTGATGACAGTTCGCCATAAGCTCTCACTCTACCAGTTGTGTTCGAGTAGAGAGCCTTTATAAGGTTAATGTACTTGTTTGGTACTCCTTTCAGTGACAAACATTGCCATAGAACCCCACGATCAACAGAGTCAAATGCCATCTTAAGGTCGAGAAATACTACCATTGTGGGGCGTCTGAACGTGTGTCTGTGTTCTAGAACCTGACGTAGTGTGAATATCTGATCTATACAACCACGTCCAGGTCGAAAACCAGCCTGATTTTCTCTGGTCTGCTCTTCACGAGCTTTAGTTAGGCGTCGAAGTATTATTGAAGCTAATATTTTAGACACTATATTAGTCAAACTGCTTCCTCTGTGACTGTCGCAAGAGGACTTTTGTCCTTTCTTATAGACTGGCACAATCAGTGATTGAGACCAGTCAGATGAGATTACGTCCAGTTCCCAAATTCTACCTAAGACCTCAGTTAATCTCACTGCTAATACTGGACCACCATCCTTAAAAATCTCAGGAGTAAACCTGTCAGGGCCTGCTGCTCTCCCTTGCTTCAGATTTCCTATGGCATTTTCAACTTCGTAAATAGTCAGAGGACTTATATTAACTTGCCATTCAGGTTGACTGGAGATCGTGGGAAACCGAAGTGTGGCTGAAGGCTAGTTGAACTGATCACTGAAGTGTTATGCCCATTGATCCAATCTCCTGGATTGAGAATGTATAATATGTTCATCTTTATCTGAGATGGTTTCGCTAACATTCGGGTTCCTAATTCCGGTTTCCTTAACAAGTCCGAACAATTGTCTGCTATTACCTATTGCCGCTGCCTTTTCCATCTCTCTTGCTTTCGCTACCCACCACTGTTCACGATCATTGCGTAGGCTTCTTGTCAGTTTGCGCTTAAGCTGACTCTGCTCTTTATTATGTTCAGAGCCAGGTGGGATGAGTTTCCGAGCATCTATCAGTGCGATAGATGCTGCTGAGATCCAGTGTTGCTCCCTAACCTTACGGGTTACCGTACTAGCAGATATCATTGCTGTTTCCACTGCTTTTCAGATATCATTCCATGCTGCCTCGGGGTGGGCATCACATACATGGCTGCCTAACTGTTTTTCTAGTTGTTCCTGAAATATATTCTTAGCTTGGCTATCATTAAGTAGGTCCCTAAGAGGTTTCCTTGCAGCGTCTTTCTTACGTCCAGTAAGACGCAGGCAAATACGCACTCGTACTAGAGCATGATCTGAATCTAAGCATGTGCTCCAGAATGAGCGACAGTCTTCTATCGAGCCCTTCCATCGATGGCCGATAACCATGTGATCTATTTGGGTCCAACATTGGGACGAATTAGGGGTCGCCATGTTAAAAGATGTTTTTCCTTATGCTTAAAGTTAGTATTTGTAAGAAACAGGCGGTTATCTGAACATAGCTGCGACAGACGGTCGCCATTATCTGTTCTTTGAGCCACAATGCTATAAGATCCACCCAGGTGTCTTTCCTTTCTAATTAATTTACTTACTTGATCATTAGTCACTAGCCACTATTACTACATCAGAGCGCCTAACGTTTCGGAGAAGGTTGGGGAGATTTCCGTAGAACTCATCTTTTACATCATCTGAGCTGTAGTCAATGGGAAAGTAAGTAGAGACGACGAAGAGGCAACGACGGGTGTCCCTATCTTTCCAAGTCCTTATTGTTCCGATTAGTCGGACAGCGCACAAACGAGTCTTCTGGGATCCACTCTAAGAGAGCTAGTTCTGCCCTAGGACTCAATGCTATACCTACGACGGCGAGGCCACGGGAAGCAGAATCAGGGCTTCCAGATACACGAAGTGTGAATCGAGTTGGTTCATTATTTTGATATGGTGAGGTCAAGTGAATGACGCTACTCGGATCCCGTATGCGCGTTTCGAAAACACAGCACACATCGATGGCGTGAAATTCTAAAGTCCTAGCTAAGGAAGCCTGTTGCCCTATTTGGCACAGTGTTCGGACGTTAAAAGCTCCTACGTGTAGTTTAGAGCGTGGTTTCAGGAGACCAGGAATAACGTTCCACGTACCCGAATCGTTTGCCCTAGCAGTGCGAGGTGATAAAGGGACGTGAGAAGGTTTAGTCGGGGAGATAAGAGAGGTATTAGGATATGTAGGAAGGATTTGAATGTGACCAACTTGGTCTCGTGTGTTGTTACGGGTATGAGGGCTGGTGTCACTTCCAGGATGCCCACACCGTGGAAGGGTATTTCTTGAGGAACCTGAAAAAGAAGTCGGATTAGTGTTGGTCTTAACGACCTGGGAGCGTGACCGCAGAGCCCAGGGGACAACTGCCGGAGGCCGGTCGCGCACGGCCTTTTTGTGGGAGATTTTTGACGTGTTAGCTCCATTCTTCAAAGGACTTTACCGCCGGAGACGGAAATCCGTGAGGTAAGGTGAGGTGTGACATTTTTAGGGTCGACTTTTTCTAACCCCTTTCTTCCTTGTGAGAAGGCAGCATCGCTGCAGCTGCTGGTTGTCTGAGGGAAACACTTTACTGCTGTCACACTCCTCTACAGTCAGCAGTACGACTTCGCCCTCAGACCTTGAGTTGCTGCTTTTAGTTTTACTGTTCTCCAATCGACCTACCTGGCATGGTAGGACCTACAGGAACATATGCTCCAGCCAATATAGCTCGGTTGGATCATCACGATAGGCAAGCCCGACCACCGCGTCAAGGTAACAGCTTCGGTCGGGTAATTTCTCATATATATTGGCTAATATGAAAGTAGCAGTTATCCGATAGGATTCATTGACCTTCAGTTATTCAAATATAAACCTAACTGGTAATTCTATATTTCCGATTACCAGTTCAGTGTATTTGACCCCTATAGTTTCAGCTGCAATAAATTCGCAGCTTCCAATGTTTTTAACTTCACTAATACAAATATCCGACAGAAAAATTCAACTTGTTTTAGGTAAAATAAGGACTGACTGAAATGCAAAGTGAGATGACAACTTTTCATATTTGATCATTATTAAAGTTAAGAACTATATTATGATAGTACAACCCAAATAAAAGCGAATAAGTTTTATATTGAGTTTCATCTAAAAAAAAAGAATGACAGTTGTCGAATCTCGACAATACACTGAAACATCAACACCTTACGGATGTTTTTGTAAACTTGTGACATTTGTTTATGATTTTGGAGCATCGAAATTAATGAGGAAAATATCTGAGAACATAGAGTCGATAATGCAGTTTATGATGAATTGTTTTCTAAACCAGTTAGAGACTATATATGCGGTGCTAGTAACAAGCAGTAAACCAGCTTTAATCAAGTTACGTTTTCTAGTTTATTAAGAGTACTGACGGTGGTAATCGATAACTTGTTTCTAAAGGTTATTAGAATGTATTTCCTTGAATCAACAAAAGAAATTGAAGTTGGAAACCGAACTTTATTTGCAATAAAATAGCAACTTTGCAACCGAATACATAAACTCAAAACGCAAATTAGAGAAGTCCTTAGGTTACTTTATGATATTTTCTGAGAGGAGCTTCAATTCGTAGATATGGTAACTAAACCAATATATACTGTCTGCACTATCTGTATTTACTTGAGTGATTAGATCAGACTACATTAAATGGTAAGCAGTTGACCCATCCGTGTATAGAATGCTCTGGAAAAATAATACAAGCCTTAATTCTTTCTATTTTGTTCATTTTAGATAAATGCCGAACTCTGATGATTGAGTTTTAAAGACTTCACTCACTTTTCTCGTCAAATACATACACAAGGTACATTTTTGGTTGCTATTAATAATCCGTGTGTATAACATTTAAGACATCTTGATACACTGTAGTAGTAGCATTATGGATAGCCATGAAGTGGAACTCCAATTTATACATGAATATTAGTAAATATGAAGTGGTTCGCATTTTTTTAATCAAGGGGATATATGCTTAAAATCGACGGAAAACACGGTGGAAGAGAAAACAGGAGAGAATAGCCATATTACTCGTTTAATTTTTTGTCCATCCACACGAATCCCCTTTCCCACCAGCTTGGGTAGTCTGTTTACATAGATACCTGAAAGTTGTTTTGAAACCTGGTTTACACATAATGCAAATGTAAAAAAAACCACGTAGTAAAGTAGAAATAAAATCGCGAAATCTGGTAAAATTTCACATAAACATTAGGCCTTATTACCACAAAAGAGAGGGCTAATAGTCAGTCGAGACAAAATGTACCTCTTAAAGTTCCAGTGGCCTTGGATATACAAATGATTTGAATAGTTGCTCACGCAACAAAAGTGTGAGGAAGCAATATTTTTGAGTCAAGTTTATGTTAACCAACTGTCTCACTTGAACTCGTTTATTATTTCAGTACGGTTTCGGTTCTTTGGTGATATTGAATATATACATATACAAATATGGATCAACACCATTACGAGTCTAGTAGCAGTGAATCACCAACGCCATCAAACAGGAACCTAGGTATATTAACGACAATAGAGGAGAGACGAAATTGCCAAATCATAACAAGATGTTATCCTTAGTCCTTAAGAATAGGTCAAGTTTCCTCTTAAATGACTTCTGGGAAGTCGCTTGGACTAGCTCAGACGGCAACGAATTCCAGCATTTGACAAATCTTGAAGAGTAGAAGTTCAAATGGTGCAAATGGTTGTGGACGAAATAGAAGAAGCTTTCGCTTAACAGGCTTCCGTGTCTAGTAGCAGGGGATCACCAAATCCTCCAGGCAGGAACCTAGGTCTGTTAACAATAAAACAGGAAAAGAAATTAGTAAATCATAGTGTGATACTATCCTTACTCCTTGAGAATAGATCAAGTCGCCTCTTGAATGACTCCTGAGAAGTCGCTTGGACTAGCTCGGCCGGCAGCGAATTCCAGTATTTGACAACTCTTAAGGAGTAGAAGTTGTGTCTACAGTCCGTTCTGCTATGTTGTGTTTCCAGTTTTTGGGTGTTACCTCTTAGGTTAGTGTTGGAACTAAGCTTAAGTAGGTGTTTGAGAGGATGTCCAGAAGTGGTAAGGATACTATAAGCCATCAGAAGGTCACCTCTAAGACATCTATATTGTAATGGGTAAAGGTTAAGTGAATGGAGGCGCTCTTCGTAAGGTTTAGATTTGAGTCCTCGAACTGATTTCGTGACTCGTCGTTGGATACGCTCCAAAGTGTCCTTATCCTTTTGAGATGAGGGGGAGTACTATGTTTCCGTACTCTAAATGTGGACGGATAAAACTATTGAAGATTATATGGAAAGTTCTTCCGTCAAACTGTCCAAAAATGCGCTTCAATGTTACCAGTGCAAGGTTTGCTCGGAAGGCATTTTTGTCACAGTTAGCGTAAGACTTTAAATCGTAGGGCACCAAGTCTCCTAAATCTTTTTCGACTTGAGATACTACTAGAGATGAGTTACCCAAGTTACAACTGTAGTCTGCGACATGTCGCAGATGGACTACTTTACACTTTGAAATGTTAAAGGTAAGTCCGTTATCATCTGCCCAACTTTGAATTTGTGTCAGTTTCAAACATTTTTGGTCTGTTCAGTGAGTTCGTTGTACATAAAGCTGTGATTATCACTGGGGACTTCATCTTAATCGCCTGAAAACATCTGTAGCGGCATTAGACCATGACCACACAATCCTCAAAGCTGAACAAGAGACTACTCGGAAACTAGATATTCAGTATTTAACGCGTAGAAATACCTAACGATGGAGAAAATGCGGGAAGAATGTATTGAAGGAGTTGGAGTGAATCGGATGGCATGGCTCGGCCATGCAGGTGTGGTCCCTGCGGATCGTTACCTTATATCTTTTATTCATATTAAATATATTGTTCTTTCTCTAGCCTAAGCTTGTTCTCCATCATGTATTGGTAATTGTTACGATACAGTGAGTTGGTGTAGACGATGATGTGGAATCCACGTAAGATCTTATAGATTAGGCAGTTATATCGTAGCGCGGTTTCAAGTCGAGATTAACTATGAACACCGCTACCAAGAAACACGTGTCAAGTAAATCAGAAGGCGAAGGTTGAACGTAACCAGATAAATCCATAAAATCCCCGAGAAGCCAAATATCAGAAGGCAGGTAATGGACGAAGTTGAGATATATTTGCTGGCGATTTCGTGGTATCGAAAGGATACCGAGATCGTGCCAGGATACAAGCTTGGTTACAGAACGTAACCGAGTTCGCGCGAGGTCACAATCAAAGTGTGAGAATAATGGATGCTTTTTAGCACAGTTAAACAAAGAGCATATTAAACAAGCACAGGTACAATTGGTTATAATAATAATAATTGTTTTCATCAAACCAGTCGAGTTCTCGTGATAAAAGTGAGTCAATACAATTTCATGACAAATCTACAATTTTAGGATTAGGTCTATTATTAGCGCAGTACTAATATCATAGTAGACCATAATTATAGACACCCAATTTTAGAGTGGCAAAAGGACTAAATTTTTGGGTGAATGTGGTATATGATTGAACTAATGATTCCTTTGTACTTGTTGAATGCTTGATTTGGAAATCCAAATACAGTACATTTGTTTGTGCTTATCTTGTACTTCTTGATCCAATTGCGTTAATTCTGGGATTTTTAGTTAGTACCATAATTCAGATACTCCTAATTATCATCATGGAGCTTAGTCTGATTCCCTCTCAAAATCCATGCTCCTATATAAGTCATTTTTCACGGACTTTCTTCCTGACTTTAATTTTGAGACTGGACCAACTTGTTTCAGAGCATGTTCAGAATTGTTAATGTTGATGTCGAGCAGTTCACAGATTCTGGTTAAGTCCAAGAACAACCAGTGTGCATAATTAATCACATTTCATTGAGTGACTTAAGAGGTGGTGATTGCATTCTTTCCCTTGTGCCAGTTCCTACTGATATATTTCTGTAATATTACCCCTTGCATTATGCGCTCTTAAAAGCAGTTGTGGTACCTTGATACGACAAAAAGGCAACTCGTGTAAGGTGTCGACAGCGACGCGTGACTTTGAAATTAGCTGGTTTGCCACGCCATTCCTGTCTAACTCAGTTGGCCCCCACTCACTAGACACAGACCATCTGCGTTAGTGATCTACAACATGATTTGTCCTCAGTACTACAAATAAGCCTTGTAGCCCGTTTTTTGATGCGCTATAAAGTGCTAAACATCAACTTTACCTGGCAAAATTCACATAGTGTTTGTTTATTGAGATGTGAGTATGGGTGATAGGAGAGCCTCGTTGCTTGCGTTGGGATATGACTTTCATTATATTTAATTCGGAAACCGGAGGGACACAGATTCTTGATTAGCAATTAACGTAGTCGAGCAGTAACACATACTAATCCTTTTTTGTATATGCTTGAACTTAGAATTCGGCATCCTGTTTTAAAGAATTCGAGAGTAGGTGACATCACCAAAGTTAACGGTTTCGGGTTTTGTAGTTCTTTCAATACAATGCAGATTAGATCAGCATAGTGGTGCTTGAATTTATTTCACTGCAATAAGAGTGCAAGTTGTAATATTGTCAGCGTTATTTCTGTTCTAATATAAAGCCAGTTTCAATATAAATCCAGTTAATTTAGAAAGAGGTTTAGTTCTAATGTCGATCTAATAATGCAATTATTCCAGTCCAGTTGTGTTCATTTAATGCAATTGTGCTTCACTCGGTTATTACTACTCTATATGCTAGTGAATTCAACCATTCAAACATTTGTATTCCAGTACATTTCTCTTTGATCATCGATTATCAAACGAACAAATATAACGAAATCCCAAAAAAGGTAATCACGCTAAGGCAAGAGGATATAACGAGAACGTTTCACACGATAAGGTCTAATAGAAAACTGAAATATTTTTTAGATGACTAATGTGTCTGGATGTCATCTGCCCTGATATAAAACCCCCAGAGTGAGTACACTTCAGAATGACAATCATAAGAAACACTTAGAATACCAAAAAGAGTGATACCCAGGTTCTTTTCAGTGGTGAAGAGGGTAACACTGGAATCTCAGTACGACGTATCTCTGATGTTAACCGTCGTCATTGTGTATCTATCATTACGGAAAAGATTTATGCCATTCCAAATGTACATACTTTTGAAGTCTTCAAGGAAAGCCACAACATTTTCTCGACGTGAAGGAAACGCTAAGAGACTAGACAGATTTAGGTTGGTCATTATTGGAAAATAATCGAACTGGTGGCACAAGGATTGGGTCTCGTGACACTGCGTTTGATACTGAGAATTTATCTGACAGAGTAGTACAAACTACAAGAGCTTGTAAATTCTCGTTTGGGAAATTTGAGAGTCACATCACCAGATACTTATTCCCACAGAGTTCAGTCCCTGAAATGGAATGCTGTAGTTAATCTTGAAGAATGCTTTGGGTTCAGCACCACCCAAATATTTATGTCCCAGTGAGCTGTTCTGGTTATTACGGGCAGTAAATAGGTTTGTGTTACAGGATTTTTCAAGTTAGGAATCACTTCGCGATTCGGGGAGAATAGATTGTGTTATGGTAGTTGGACTGTCTTTATATTACGCATAGTCTCACCATTAGACCTCCTAATAACCTTCGTTTCTTTGGAGACTAATGTAGTATGACCATATCTGCACGCTCTCAACTTGTGTACCCTATGGGTATGTACAGGATTCAAAAGGCTTCAAAAGTTTGAACATACCATTTGCTACGCAATACAGACGAGAAGTTGAACGCTAGGTTAAACCATTCAAACACATTACGCTTCCTCTACTCAAAAAAGTAGGTTGGGAGATGTAAGCATCACATAAATTAAAAAAATAATCAACTGTCTTTTCCGACTGCACCGATCTTACTACAACATCTGGTCATTGTCCAGTTCGAGACCATTTACACTAGACCTCTATAGACATTGTTAAGGAGATTTCACCATTCATTTAAGTGGATGAAATCCTAATCAATCTGTCAGGATCCTCATTCTAGGTTGGCTCTAATATTGTTATAAAGCTTTTGGTGAAAAGTTTACATACTGGATACATTCACCAGGTTATTGGGGGAAAAATAGCATTATAACTTTGTTCGAAACGATACAAGACTGTTAGAGCAATAACTTTCAATGCATGGCTGGCCAAAAGGCAAACCACTGTAGACGCATGTTTGTTTGTCCACCAGTGAGGGACGATATCTGGCTAGCTGAATTCTTCCACCAAGCTCCCAACGTCACAAATCAGTTTTGAAATTGTTGCCCAAATGAGAAGAAACTAGGAATGGTGAAAAGTCCCCAATCCATTATAATGTTCTCATTTTTAAATAATCGTTTGTGAAACAATTTTATGAGGTAGGAAAGATCCCTTGCTCTTACTACAGCACAGCTGATAGCGTCATCTCGCGGGAACATCTTTAATATGTGTTCGCTCTTCAGAACAGGCGAAAACGTTAACATATAAGCACTGGGTGATCGAAAAATGAATTACGTGCGTCGCCATTTCGATTTATGTCAATCACACGGCAAATCGGGAAAGAAAGATAACACCTTGGAACGATCAGGGTGGGAATCACTTTCATTAGCCAAAAACGATTATTTTTAGTAGACAGAAAAAATTAACGAAAAGATCGTTTCAAGTTGCCTATTTTACGGTGAGAAATATATGCAACCTGAGGATTCAACAGAATGCGGAGTACTTTTTGGTCAGCAATAATATTCATTCTAAATCGGGGTAGTTTTTGGTCAGGCCATGTCTAAACAAGGGGCTTGTACGATTAACAGACCTATGTATCCTATAGATGATTTAAAAAGCTGAAAAGCTACAGTATATATGACGTATGCAACTAAATGCTCAATCAACGTAAGGATTTAAGATTTTCTGTGTGATTTACAAGTTCGTATTTCATAACAAAGATTACTGAATAGAACATGAGGGATATTTAGAATTCATCCCGAATGTCTATGTTATTTTTCGTCAATAATTTGGACAATAATTTCTATCTTTTAGCATCAATTGAGAAGTAGTAGTCAAAAGAAGTGTTATGTATGTAATGAAGATTTTACAAATATGTCAAGCTCAATAATAATGAGGAATAGAATTACGCCTCATGCATTTCCTACTAAAACACCGTATAAACTTTTTCTCTGTGTAAATTTATCACTGTGATGTAAAAACGGGTAGACAAAATTGTTACAATTCACAATAATGCATAACAGTTGTGACTACTTATGTGGAAAAATTACCTGAAAAATTTGGTCGAGTTAGAGACCAAGTGGTTGACATAAAGATTCCAAAAGCATTCGGAGTCTGACAACGCTTTTAAATGTAACACCTTCATGATCGAAGTGTGACAACCCAACCAAATCAGATGTCAAGAATGAGGAGGTTCGAAGGTAAGTTTGGAGGCCTATCGGTGTGTCGAGAAGCGTTTAGTTGAAGCTGTCTGATTGTTGCAAGGGATGCGTAGCGCAGCATTCACACTCGTGATCTGGTGCGGATGGGTGACCGAGAGCCTTCAGATAGGTGTGTCCATTGAAACTAATGAGGCCAATATCGAAGACCTACAGAACTATTTATTTTGAGGATTTTTTTACTGCTTCACGCTGAAATTTGTGACAACGTCACTATTTTGTTGATAGAATCATTTCGTCGAACGACGACCACATAGCCAACAGTTGTTTTTGTTTGACTAGCACAAAAAATTTTAACATTCAAGTGTTTGCGCAGATTTTTTATTGAGCTTGCCCTTTATTTTCATTTTGTTATGAATCAGCGCGACTATAGAGATCTATGTAAATAATTATACGGCATGTAGCATAAAACTTAATTTCAGCGACGGAAAAAAGTTCCAACAGAACATTTACAAAATTTTTACTGTAACTGTGGGTTCGGTAGCATGTCAACAGACTTATAATGTAACAGTCTACAGATAGCCAGGAAATCGGGCTATTTATTATTATTTATTAACTTCACTACCCGTTCATCTTCTCATTTCTCCTTCGCGTTCTCATTGTACCGTTACAACATTTCAATAGACTGTGCCTTTGTCTTGTAACATGACAGCTGTTTTGTTCAGCAATCATACTGACCTAAGATGACTGCGTTTACTTGAAATCGAGAATTATCAACCCTTAGATTATTATTAGGAACAGTAAGGTCGAGTGAGTGGCCTATCATAGTTATAGTCTAGTAATTACATCGAATATATCGGACTGAGAAGCCAGTAAAAGAATCTTATAGTTATCGCATTTCCTAGAGATACGGTTACAAACATGATGAATAACATTGAGCTATCTCTTTTCCCAGCACACAATGACTAAGGAGTCATCGTTATCCAAGACTAAAAAACTACTTCACTATGTCGTGCACCATCTATCAAAGATTTTATAGCCCTGTGGTCAACACGTAGGGCCTTTAGTCATGTCGACGCTAAAACGTTTTGGACTTTACATACAGCATTCATGCGCCCTAAACTTGAGTACTGCATACAAGCGGTTAGCACCTGCTTAAAAAAGACAGTAAGCTTTTGAAAAGAGCTTTTAGAACAGAGACTTAGCTGGTCGCGGAATAGTCAAGCTCTTTTATGATGCTGGACTGGCCAAACTAAGCCTATTCTCATTGTCATGTCGAAGAAGTACAGGTGACCTAATAACGCATCTCAAATTATTTAGTGATAAACTTACACCTTATATGCACTCATTTCTGTTGTCCAAAACAGGGAGTCAACGAGGACACTTAAAAAAAGATAAGAATCCCAGAACAAATTACTTGTCAGATGACTATCGACTGTACCATCGAACCAACAACGAGTGGAATTTATATATAAACATGGGATTGAAGCTCCATCTATCGAATCTTTCAAAAGAAAGTTGAATAATCTGTAAGATCATCAGTGCTACAACTAACACAGATCGACAAAAATCCTGCACTTTATAGTCTGAAAACGAGATGTTAAATTGGAAAGTGAAGACCAACCCATCGTTGTCATTAGCGACGCCCGAACAAGCCCGCGATATTTGACGCGGAAGCCTTCTGTGGGCAGCGCTCCAGGGGTATCTAGCAGTGGATCATCAACACCTTCAAACAGGAGCCTAGGTATATTAAAGACAATAGAGGAGAGACGAAATTGCCAAATCATAACAAGATGTTATCCTTAGTCCTTAAGAATAGGCCAAGTTTCCTCTTAAATGACTTCTGGGAAGTCGCTTGGACTAGCTCAGACGGCAACGAATTCCAGCATTTGACAAATCTTAAAGAGTAGAATTTATATATACAGCCCTTCCTACTGTGTTGTGCCTCCAGTTTCTTGTTGTTATCTATTAGGTTTGTGTTGACACTAAGCTTAAGTAAATGTTTAATGGAACCCGGGTTCCATTTTCAGTTTTGGAAGGACAGGTGGCTTGATGGCCAATGTTAGTCCTGGCAGTGGTGGTCTCACAGCTGATCCAACTTTCCTTTGAAAGAGTCGACGGATGGAGCCTCAACCACGTGCTGAGGTAGTGAATTCCACTCGTTGATGATTCGATGGGAAAGTCGATAGTCAGCTGACAAGTAATTTGTTCTCGGCTTATGAACTTTTTTGGAGTGTCCTCGTAAATTCTCTGTTTTGGAGGACAAGAAAAATGAGGGCATATTAGGTGCAAATTCATCACTAAGCAATTTGTAGACTGTAATCAATTCGCCTCTTGTTCTGCTATATGACAACGGGAAAAGGTTCAGCTTGGCCAGTCGAACTTCATACGGTAGCTTCGCTATTCCGGGAATCAGCTTAGTCGCCGTTCTCTGAACCTTTTCCAAAAACTCACTGTCTTTTTTAAGCAGGGGCTAGCCGCTTGTATGCAGTACTCAAGTTTAGGACGAACGAACACTGTATACAAAGTCAAAAACGTTTTAGCGTCGACATGACTAAAAGCTCTACGTATTGACCATAACGTTCTAAAACCTTTGGCAGCTATTGCACGGCAGTGTGCAGTAGTCTTTAAGTCTTGACTAACGATAACCCCTAAGTCATTATATGTCTGGACGACAGGTAGTTCAGTGTTATTCATCGTGTATGTATCTGTGCCTTGATGACCGATATGCATCACAACACACTTGGAAGTATTTATCGGCAACTGCCATGTTTGAGACCATTCAGATAACTTCTTCAAGTCATTTTGAAGTTCTAAGCTATCACTCTTACATCGTATCGTTCTCCATATCTTGACATCGTCAGCATTTAGCAAGACCGATGATGATAGGAGACAAGGAAGGTCATTTACATACAAGAGGAATAACACTGGCCCCAAAACTGTACCCTAGGGCACTCTACTAAGCACAGTTTCCCAGCTAGATAACTTTGAGTTCACCCTTACTCTTTGTTGACGCCCAACTAAGAAGTCTTTTATCCACATCAATAAATTGCCTCCAATCCCGACTTTTCTTAACTTATATAACAGCCGGTTGTGCGGAACTTTGTCAAAAGCTTTACTGAAATCAATGAAGGCGACGTCCACAGGTAGGTTTTGGTCTTTAAGAGCGCACCAGCTTTCACGAGCCACTAAGTTAGTGAGACGAGAATAACCTATTCTGAAGCCGTGCTGCTTCTCCCAGACGATCCGGTTTTTATCGAGATACTTAAACAGCTCCTTCCGAATAATCTTTTCTAAGATTTTAACAACCACACTAGTTAGGCTAACGGGACGGTAGTTCTCAGGTTTGTGTTCCGTACCTGTTTTGAAGACAGGACTTACTATGGCGTTTTCCCAGTCTTTTGGTAAACGACCCTGCGTAACGGATAGGTTAAAGCATGTACTTAAAGGGCTTGCAACGAAGTTAGATAATTCCTTCAGTAGCCTAGGATGTAATTCATCGGGCCCCGTGGATTTACCTATGTCAACCTTATTTAGCAGACCACAGACATCGAGTTCTTTAATGGTCACGCTATCCAGTGTATGTATGGGGGGATCTGTATACGCTGACGGAAAGGGCGCTTCTATGGTATATACGTTGCTAAAGTAGTTCGAGAACACTTGAGCCTTACCAAAGTCATCCTCCACTAATGATGAAGCAGTACTGTCTCCCCACAGTACAGGAATATTTTCTCTTCTTTTTGTCCTTTGGTTTATATAGGAATACAAGCGTTTAGGACATTCTATGGATTCCTTAACAAGTTTTCCTTCGTAAAAGTTTCTAGACTTACGGAGGGTCGAGGCGCAAGTATTCCGAGCCTTTCGATACTGAGATTTTGACTCATCAGTCCCCGGTAACCTAAATCTATCCCACATTTTCCTTTTCTTACGGAGAAGGATACGGACCTCCCTACTGAGCCATGGTGGTGAGTTTTTCGGCCCCTTTGGTATAGTCCAAGGGATGTGAGGTGTGGTAACTTTTAAGTATGAATTTCGAAATGCGTCCCAGGCCGTTTCAATGGAGGACTCTGGGTCTATTGTCCAATCTATTAACGATGCTGAGTGCACGATGTCTGGTATGTTTGCTTTCCAGAAGTTGGGTCTGGACTAGACTGACGCGTGCTCGTGACTGGAAGTTATATGGAAGTCGAAAACTAAAACTGCGTGATCACTTTTACCTAGAGGTGGTATATGACGGAGGTTCGCCAGGTTTATGTTACTGCGATTATGTCTGGCTTTGTAGAGTCAATCTGTACACCTAGTTCCGATCGCTTTTTAAGTAAGCTTCGTGCATTGGTGTAACAGATCCGAAGCCTGTTTAAGTGCCTTCGTGCTTCACCCAGAGTGGCTTCGGCACCATTCTCTGTCGAAGCCTCACAACCCGAAAATTTACAATTTTCAGGTCCTTTTCGCCAGCGTCTAACCCAAGTTGCAGTTCTTTCTCAGCTTCCTGTCCTTTAACACGGTCTGCCAACGGTAGGTCCTTTCGGATAAAGACTCCTAAACCCTTTAATTTGTGTCCATTCTGTTCAGAAATGTTAAGGATACAGTAAGCCATTAGAAAGTCACCTCTAAGACGCCTGTAATCTAATGAGCAAAGTTTAAGCGATTGGAGGCGCTCTTCATTAGGCTTGAACTTGAGTCCCCGAACTGATTTTGTGGCTCGCCGTTGGATACGCTCCGAAGTGTCCTTATCGTTTTGGAGTAAGGGAGGAAACACTACGTTACCGTACCCAAAATGGGGACAAATAAAACTGTCGAAGATTATGTAGAAATTTCTTCCGTCAAGCTGGCCAAAAATGCGCTTCAATGTTACCAGTGCAAGGTTTGCTCGGAAGGCATTTTTGTCACAGTTAGCGTAAGACTTTAAATCGTAGGGTACCAAAACTCCTAAATCTTTTTCGACTCGAGATACTTCTAGAGATGAGTCGTCTAAGTTGCAGCTGTAGTCTGCGACATGTCACAGATGGACTACTTTACACTTTGAAATGTTAAAGGTAAGTCCGTTATCATCTGCCCAAATTCGAATTCGAGTCAGATCCGTTTGATGTGCCAGTACATCCTCTTAGTTTCTTATCTCTCACCAAAGTTTCACGTCATCGGCAAAAAGTAATGTCTGACGATACCTGTTGTGGAAGATCATTTATATAAATTAAGAAGGAAAGAGGTTTTAGTACTGAGCCCTGGGGGACCCCTCTAGTACATTACATAGCCTGAGAGAATATGAAATTGACCGTCACCTTAAAATGTCTATTTTTCAGATATGAAGTGAGCTTGCTGGGTCGTCGAGTTTTAATTTTTCTTTCTTTGTTCTCTGTTCCACTCCCCATCACGCTGCTCTGCATGCTCCACTTGTAAACAAATTACCTGACTAGAAGCAAACAGCCAAAACAGACAAGCACTTCAGACATTTATTTCCATCCATTGAATACAAATGTGCCCGGTTAATGGCATTGTCAATGAACCAGTAATAGTAACAGTCAAAGTTTGTGATGAGGCTAAAGGAGGTAACCTTTCATTTTACATTATAAGATCGGAACTTCGTTCTCCTTAAATTAAACTGTATAGTTGAAAAAGATTTCAGATGTGAGCTGGACGTTCTTATGATTGAGATGCCGTACTTCAAAGAATTTTTGATTAAGGATGGTCAGTTTATCAGCGAAGTAGAAATACTTGTTCACTGTGACCTAAAAATATTCGAGTGGCTACTACTTTATGCTAGAAAACACATTGATCCTGATGCGTATAAAGAATGCACTTTGTCAACTTCGAATGTCCTTGCATTATTAGTTTCATCGAACTTTCTTAAAATGGAACGTCTGGTAAGTTAAACAGAAAGGTTTGAACAAATAATGTAAAGACTTCTGAATGTTTAGAATATTTCTGCAAACATGCTGGAGATATTATAGCAAGTCCTTTCTCTTTAGATTGTTTGGGCGATAGCTTAGTTGAGCGGTAGTAGGAATAGTAATTATTTAAAATGTATTCTAGCATCGCCCTCCGGTTGAAATTGGAGGAACTGGATAAGATCAAGGATAAGAAAGACAAAATAAAAAGGTAGTTCCATTCCCAACTTGGGGCAAAACATATCATTACAGCAAAATCTTTTTCAAGAAAATTGAACATTTGTTTGATCCTGAGTATACTTCTTCATACTGTCCTAACAATGCAGCGTATCTATTTCGGTAAGTTAACTGTGGCTCATGTATATTGTTTTTCTTGATTTATATGGTGATATTTAAGCGGTATAGGCAAAGTAACTAAAGTGGTATAGTTTCAGGGTAAATATAAATGTTAATAGTTCTGTTGAAGCTTTCAAGATGTAAAGTAGTTGAAGCAGCTGATTTTTATCCATATTAGGGTTATTAAATAGGTCTACACTTCCTTAGAACCGTTAAATTAACATTCGTTAGTTTTTCTCACAATGAGTATGTATCGTCTTTCAAAATCAGGAAAATTTATTGCTCTATACTTTTTGGTTATTTACTTCAATATTCAAGTCAGGTGCATTGTTTGCGTTTTATTTATCTATATCCAGATTTGTGTAGTAACGGGATAATAAGTAAGGGCACTTTTTCTCGCCATTATTTTACTTACGCAACATGATTTTGGGATACAACGTCAAAAATATTTCAAAATTGTACCAATGTCGCTGTGGCCACTTTTAAAATGGCATTCGCGGTTTACCAATTAGAAGAAAGTAAGGTATACTGTTCTTCAATTACTTCTAATATGATAATTCCACTCCTTGCCAAAGTACAGATTTGTCTAAAAAGTAAAAAAAATGTATTGGTAAAACTTCCAGAACATTTTTGCCGTAACTGAAAATTTCATGTATTTTTTTTATTGTAAGTGATAAACCTTAATAAAGATCCACCTGTGTTTTAGGTCCTAGTGTATGATTATGGCCAAATTATTGTCTATTTAGCATTGTTTTAGCGTGTTTTCGCAGTTACCTTATCTGACTCTCTTTTTCCAACATTCTTACATGCTCATTAGATATAATTTCTAATAAAACGTTATGTAAACTTGCTTTCGTGTATATGTATCTAGAAATCTACAGGTTTTATGGGTCACAAGGAAAGGAAGTCTTAACATTGAAAATTCATATACAAGTAAAATGTTTATCTATTATGATTAACTAACATATATAATTCTACTAATTTATTTTGCATCGATTTATTTTAATCAAATCAAAATATATTTGAAGATGTCAAAAATGTGGTAAAGTACTGACGAGAAGCATTTCAATTATTGTACCTTGTCTTCCGAATCGCTTTATAATTAGTCGACGTGGCGATATGATACCTGTTCATGACCCTATGGAACCAAGTGGAAAAGAATTAATTTCGACAGATGAACCATCTCATCAATGTATTGAGGCTAACGATTATTCGAAACATTCACATACACCTACATCATCAATTACATTCTCGAATTCACATTGTCGATCGGTAGTCACATCAAATATTAATGGACAAATAACCATGCCAGTTAGTCAAAAACTAACAAGTTTTTCATGTACAGAACTTTTAATTCAATGGTTTATGGAATCAGGAAATTGGCGCGATGTATTTTGGAAACTATGGGCTACAATAAATCTTCAAGTTAGCCAATAAGTTAATTACTTCTATGCAGTTAGATTTTATGTTTTGAAAATATAATAAATATTATCGGTCAGTTCACTTTTTAGTAACCATATTTTAATTGGCTGATAGATTAAAAAGAAAGATATTTTGCGGACTATTTCTCGATACAAAATGTAGATTAACAGTTTACACTGCATAATGCTCTAAAGATGGTATTGTTATGGTTTTTTATCACCTAAAGAGTAAAGATGTTATGGATGTCTGTTTCGATCTGATACAAGATTCTTATGCAGTGTGCAGCCGTGATCTCAGTTGATATCCTGTATAGAAGCTCCAGGTCTCTACGGGATTATGATACGTAAACCATTTAATCAAAATCCGGCGATTTTCGTTCCCAACCGAAAATGAAGTGTGTGCTTACACGTGACTAGATTGTGCCGGATCAAGTTGTTCCAATGTGAAGTTGTGACTAATTTAGTTTAGCTATGTCAGCAGTGAGACAACAATTATTATCAATGATGGTTAAAAATGATCTATGGGCATCGTAGAATGACTGGAGCTAGAACTATATCATGGAATTTGAAGCCAATCTTATTTAGATACATGCATTTGTTAAAAAACTTGGAGCTTCTGAATATTATCCTAAATGGAGGTAAAAATAGAAACTGTTTAGAGGTTCAGAACAACAATGTAACAGTTGTTTAATGTTCAACATTTTCATCTGATTTAAGGTAGGTACGAAAGCTGTCCTCAAATTTAAGGCACACTACAAATATATATATATATATATATATATATATATATATATATATATATATATATATATATATATATATATATATATATATGTAACATTCTACATACATCAGGGATAAATTCAACACAAGTAGTATGCATCAACTTGCTGAATTACTAAAGAATAAATATTATTTTTCAACCAGTCGATTGGCTGCAGACTTTGACAGACTTAGGATGACTAACAGTATTTGACTTCACTAATCTCTGAAATATTGTTCGCATGCTGCAACCAGTCGATTGAGGATGGATTTTAATAGTTAGAAGCAGAATTATCTGCAAAAACTTCGACAAAACAGTAAAGACTTAGAACTGAATCGATGGCAAGGGTAATTGCGATATGTGTAATCTGCTGTGGGTTGCCATGGACAGTAGATTTTAAAAGCTGTGACAGAAAAAACCCCAATAAACTTCACCAATTAATGCTTACCTACTGAACCGGTATGATCTCAGTGCTAAGATAACACTTAGCAAAGACCTCAGTTTCGAAGTTGATTGGAGTAGTCCAATGGTATCGAACTTTTGTTTCACTTACTTACGCCTGTTACCCCTCGTGGAGGAGCATAGGCCACCCACCAGGACTTCCCATCAAACTCTGTCCCGAGCAATCCTTCCCAGTCGCTATTCTTTTTCGTGTCTGCTTCCAATTCTCGGAGCAGTGTGTTCTTTGGCCTCCCTCTTTTTCGTTCCCCTTCAGGATTCCAAGTTGGCGCTTGCCTTGTGGTGCAGTCTGATGATTTCCACAATGTGTGTCATAACCACGTCCAACGTCTTTTCCTAGCTTCCTGTTCAGCCGGTAGCTAGTTTCTTCTCTCGCACAGTAGGTTGTTGCAGATGGTATCCGGCCAACAGACATTCAGTATCTTACGTAGACAATTGTCTATAAATACTTGTGCATTTTTGATAATGGTTTCAACTCCGTACAGTAGAACTATCTCTACGTTTGTAATGAAGATTCTGACTTTGATTTTGAATGTTGTTGATTGTTGTTTCCTTGATTTTCCTTTCTTGATTACTGGTCCAGGGATTCCATAGAGACCCACTGCTTATGATGATGCTTGTTGCGGTCCAGAACCTCCTGACATGTTGAAGTTATTGTTCCTTTGATCCCTTCCTAGTTGCCCTCCATAGTGGTTTCTTCTTCTTTGAGTGGACCTTGTAAGGCTTGGAACCTGTTGTTGAGAGTTGTCTTGAATTCGTCGGGCTTGTTACTATCTGGAATGAAGACTGTATTGAACCTTTATAATACTGTTCCCCCAGTTGTCCAGTGTTTCTTTAGCTTCAGTTTCATCTTGGTCACAACTAGGTGGTGGTCTGAAGCTCTGTCACCTCCTCTCCTGGTTCTCGCATCTCCCATTGTCCTTCTGAATTTTTATTGATACAAAAATGACCAGTCTGGTTATCTGTGGTGTGATCCGGTGATATCCATGTAGCTTTGTGTGGAACTATTGTACCGCCTATTGTTATGACCCTGATGTCCGGCTTTTCTATCACGCGACTTATTGACCAGTCAGAATACGACTTATACAATTTCGCACTATGCCGAACCAATGACGTTCAGCGGTATGAGCAGTTTAGCGTCCTGATTGGTCCTATGTCCTCCTAGCCCTTCCACTTGAGTCCAGAACACAATACCAGCTTCTGTAATATGAATAAAATAGTTTATTTCAGACATACTTTGTTTATATACTAATCAAACAAACCACATCGTACCATAAAATATAAAACAACATTTGTACAATATTTGACAAGTGAAATGAATATTGGCCAATAGTAAATGTCCATTTAAAGTACAAGGACACCATTAGACTTAACATGATAATTATTGGATAATTATACGATAAGAATATTTATAGAATATTAGTCTATTAACAGTCCTCGGAAGTCACCTGTAATTTAATCTTCACTGGGTCATAACACCTATAACCAATTTGTTGAATGAACATAGGTCTACAAATTTCTCCTTATTTTCCTTTCTCTCCCAGTCCATTTCATCCCATGATATTCTCATATCGGGTGTTTTCCATTCCGACTTTGGTGTTTAGATCTCTCATCAGGATGGCCAGGTTCTTTCTTGGGCACTTCGCTATGATTGACTGCAGCCACTCATAGAACTGATCTTTATTGTCGTCGTCGCTCTCATTGGTTGTTGTATAACATTTGATAAAATTCATCGTGATTCCTTCCTTCTTTGTGTTAAAGGACGCTTTGATGATCCTGGATCCATGAGATCCCATTCTATAAGTGCATTACGTGCTTCTTTGGACAGCATCAGAGAAACTCCCTGAATTTGTGGAGCATTTTATTCTTCGTGACTAGAGTACAGCAGCATCTCTCCCAAATCTATCCTTTTCTGTCCAACTTGAGTCCAATGTGTTTCACTTATTCCGAGCAACACCAAGTTGTATCTCCTTAATTTCTCAGCTATTTGTTTGGTCTTCCTGGTGTCTCACATTGTCCGAACATTCTATGGACCTATATTAATTTTTTCTCTGGTTGTTGTTAGATGGGGCATCGGCCTCATGACTTTTTGAGAACCTCGGCTTTCATCATGAGGCTTCATAATTCTTCTGAATGAAGATCTTTCAAACCAAACGGCAGAGTTCAAATAGTTTAAATTGTTTATTCTAGTTAGTGTTTTTTAGCGAGGTTGTTTTCTACGGGATGGGTTGTTGACTACACGCCCAACCCTCCTTGTTTACCCGAGCTTATGACCAGCAGTAGCGATAGAAGAGCTACAAGCAGAGTTGAACTTTTGTTTTAATTCAAATAATTGAATAATACTTTACACCTACTTCTCTGTGTTTATTTATATTAATTTATCTTTAGTTAAATACCTTCACATATTCTAGTAAATTCTTCCGAATTAAAATGATTTATCTGTATATTGCAATTATCTACATTATTCCGTATATTTCCATTCTCGGTAAAAGAAAATGAGTTTTTCCAATTCATATTATCCTATTAACAGTTTGCTTAAGTCCAAACCTCATGTACATTCATGCTTCCTTGAATCATGTTACTATTGATAAATTATTTCATTTGCATTTATTTTAAATGTCTAGTTATGCAAACGTTGTGGCAAACAATTTCCTATAGTTGAATTAGGAGATGGTTGTTTCTATCATACGATGACTCCCGTACCTGTTCAATCAAATCATATAGTTAATAATACTGTTTCAATGAAAAACGAACTATCAAATAGTCTTGATAACTGTCAACTTGATGATGAATATGATGATATTTCCAGCAATAAACGATTTACATCTACATTTAAAAAACCAGAAAATATCGAATTTCATTGTAGAAATGCTAAATCTCATGAATTATTATCAAAAAAGCATTCACAATCAAATATTACTAATACTGACTTATTAAGGTTAGTAATATTTGTACAAATAATAAATTATAATTTTAGTCATATGTTGAGTGTTGATTTTTAAACACTTTTCAAATGGGCTAAAATACCTACTACAGAAATTCGATTTCTAATTATTGAGTTGATTGTAGGCGTACATCAATTGTTTCTACTTAAAGAAATAATACCGATGCTGTTCAATGTTATCAGTCCTCAATGTAATTCAAATATAATAGTGTTCATTTTACTTAACCCTCCAAAGATATCATGATATTTTTAGAATATCAGTAAACACAGCGGCATAGTAGTGAATACAAAGTTTTGGTTCACTTAAACTTACTTACACCTGTTACCCCTCATGGAGGAGCATAGGTCACCCATCAGGACTTCCCATCGAACTTGTTTATAATCTAACCTTTACAAAACAGCCTCTTCTATAATTCGTGTCTTCTGTTTTCTTACTCGGGGTTCAAGTGTGAAACACCTTTGAAGACAAGGAATTGATTACGAAATCAGTGTATAAACGTTCAGTTGAAAGAATTATCACCTAAAAGTGTTAATTTTATATCTGGTCGTCACTAATTGCTATGTTGGGATCGCTTATTACTTATGCTTGTAAAACGAGGGACCACTGTAATTCCTACGATGCGAAGTGAGAACACCAAGACTGGTACAAATGAAGAGTTACTAATCACAAAACACAACTACCCTGGTCAAAATTACGTCCATCATATATTGATTGTACACTCATTTTGATTATTAATTAGGATGAAATCCCATATACAAAAAATACCCAGATTTATAACAAATCAGATGCTGCGTGTCATGCTGAAGATAATTTATGTTAATTTAATACTAGAATATCGTATCTTGAATAAACATGACACTCAAATAAATTAATGTCATGCCGAATAAAATATCACACTGGAAAACAAACACAAATACTACACTTAGTAGTTATCACATTGAATTAAAAATACGGAAATGATGTCGAACAAAAATCACAATGAGTAAAAGAATGCAATTTTTACTTTTTCAATCCTGTCATATCAATTAACAGCTAGATTCTTATTCACTGATACAATAGTATCTTGCTCACTGTCGGACATGAAGTTCTTACCCTTCGATTTCATGTATAGTTGTATGTTTATACAAATTATGAGCTCTATATTAGAACAAAAAACTACCTAGTGCTTTCTAATTATAAATGATTTCTCAAATGAAGTCGATTTGTGGTGTAAACGTATCTTATAAGTGGACCAATATTCACAAATCAACTAGCTAATAAATTATTTTCTTAAAAGATTTAGCTTGATACGACTTTAATCAAAATATAAATATTTGCTAAAGTTTACTGACAAGAATTTTAAAGTCATTTTGAGCTTATATATATAATTCTTTTTTTCAGGCATGATAAACCTGATTTCATCTATCCATGTTGTGGATTGGGCTTATCAAGATTCAATTTATTCTCAACTCAAAATGTGAGTTTAAAACCCCAAAGAACAGAACATAATTTATATTTAGAGAATAATATTTCGTTTATTGACACATTGAATTAAACTAATTATATGTAGAATTTTTCTCATCAACAACATGAAAAACTGTATTAAAATATAATTATTGAACAAGGAAACAATGAGTATAAGTGGTTTGTGGAGATCGGTTCGTTTTATAATTAAAAGTCGTAATAAGCAGAGTTCAACAAATTTAGTTGTAAAGCAGCTAATTGGACATTATCTTGGTTTTGGTTGAAGACAGACATGTCAAACATTAGATGCTTACACAGTGTTCTAAGGGTTAAGTGCTGACAATGAGATCTGAAGGTTTTGGGTTTGATCCATGATGTGGTTGTGAATACTCATGAGTAAGAAGTCGTATATCAGGACAAAACACTGTCCAGTGCTCGTTGATTTCGAACAGTTGTCTAACCAAAACCAGTTCATGATATAAACTACAAAATCAAAATATAGTTCTTAGAAATTTGTCATATTTTAATAACTTTGATCAATTTAGCAATATTGAACTTTATGACAAAAAAAATGACATGAGATAAAGCAACTTGGACAGATACATATTTGTACTGTGTTCTTCTTTTTGAAGATAACTGACTACTTGGCTGATCTAATTTTGAATATCAGTTTGCCCTGGTACGGCCGAGAGTGGGGAGAGTCCGCTCTCCCTCTCCAAATGCTCTCACATGGCCACGCGTATATAGCCTCTGCCAGGGAAGTCCTACTCACTGCCTTCTCGTGACGGGGGTGTTGTTTACGAAATTGAGAGGACGAAAAGCGAATGTCCGGCGCTTTAACCGGATTCCAAACCAATGGACAGGCTCGGGTGGCCCCTAAGAAAACCCCTGCTTCGGTTTGGGCACCGGCAGTATACAGCCCTCACACATATCGAATGAGATTTGTGTGGCGCATATATAAAGAGTATTAGAGTGAACAATCGTCTTCGACAAATCATTCGTCTACGTTCTACAGTGATAATTTCAAACTTACTGTGTTACAATCGACAGAGTATTAAATGAAAATTAATACGTGAAATGCTCATGTTTACATTCTCTTTTCAAAAGCCACACGGAATAATGTTCTGAGATGCGTTTGGGAAGCGATCACTCTGTAAGGCCGTTGTAACCTGCCCAGCAGGAGCATGTAAATTTATGGAAGCACATCAATGTGACCCAAAGCGGTAATTTATCCTTGACACATCCGTGAATGATAGACCGGCTTGGAAAGACAAAACAAATCTGAGCTGAATGGGCTTTTTTTAGAGATTTTGAAATTCAGGCAGTTGTATCTTCTTTAAATTCGATATTCATAAGAAGATTTCTTTTGAACTGTTGGTGCTTTTTCAGGACGTTGTCTTGGTGTCAAGTTACTATCGACAATGAAGCAATCTTTTCTATGTTTCTATGGACATATATTTAACAACAACTTTGTATACGAATGTACAAGTTAAGTAGATGATTTCGTCGAAAAGAAAATATACTTCGCTAATTTCTCCTTATTTTATTTCAGTATAATTTTTATCATGAATTAAAATAAGCTGAAAGGGAATCGTCTTTCCAATACTTTAAATAGGATTGAACCTAATGTATTTAGGTCAATCAATCCCGACCGTTGTTGCTACCTTGAAGTGGTGGTCGAGCTTGCCTATCGTGATGAAGCAACCGAGCTATACTGGCTGGAACAACCGTTCCTCAAGGTCCTACCATGTCAGACAGGTCGGTTGAAGAGCGGTAAGACTAAAAGCGACAAACCCAAGGTCCGAAGGCGAAGTCGTACTGCTGGCTGTACAGAGGTGTGACAGCAGTAAGGTGTTTCCTTCAGACAACCAGCATTGCAGCGATGCTGCCTTCCCACAAGGAAGGGTGGGGTTAGAAAAGGTCGACCCTAAAAATGCACACCGCCTTACCTCACGGACTTCCGTCTCCGGCAGTAAGGCCCTTTGAAGAACGGAACTAACACGTCAAAAACCTCCCACGAAAAGGCCGTGCTTGACCGGCCTCAAGCAGTTGTCCCTTGGGCACTGCGGTCACGCTCTCAGGTCACTGAGACCGCCTCTAATCCAATTTCCTTTTCAGGTACCTCCAGAAGAACCCTTCCTCGGTGTGGGCAACCGGGAAGTGATAACCGCCCTCATACCTCTAACAGCACCCAAGACCAATGTATTCATAAGGTCAATCAATGAGCATTATAAGATTGAGTTACTGTGTTAAAATCAACGGACCCAAATTTAAATATCCTCAACTAATGTTATTGGTAAGATACGCTCTTATCCTCACCTTAGTTGGATGGAAACAAAATTGATTAGTTCATGCACATCATGATCTCAGCTTAAGAAGGCCACATATTGTCACAAGGCCACATGGTAGCTGTATGATGTGTGGGTGGAATATCTTGAGTGATTGAAATATTCACTTAGTCAAGGGCACTGCCTGTATACCTTGATCTAGATTATTCCAGTATTATATACATATATATTGCTTGTTTACATATTTATTCGCTGTCTGACAATCTAACTTCCCATTACACTCCCTGTCTTTTTTACTATGCATTAGTGGTAGAGTTTATACATTAAGGGACGTACATTATTTACTGAAATGAACCGAAGCATAGAACATGATCCTTAAATCACTTAACTTATATACACTAATTAATTGTAGAAAGCTAAAAAGGTATACTGAATGCTGAGAGAAAATTATAAATCCTTCTCTCTTTAAAAAAAAGTGAAAATGGATTATTTATCCTTCCTCATGTCAAAATCTTAGATCAGGCTAATGAAGTTTAGACACGTAACTATTCTAATCTTTAGCAAAAATATCCATAGAATTAGTTTTAATACAGTTCTCATTACACTCTGAAAATTTATAATTTTAAATTTCTATATACAGGGATGTCACAGAAGTGAACATATTTTGAATGAAGATAGTTCAGATCCTGTAACAAAATTATGTATACAACATCGTGAAATGATTATGTCATGGGCTACTAAACGATCATTCAATCAAAATAAGTAAGGATAATTTATATATCATGATAAATTTATCAAATTGATGTATAGTTGATACTCATTAAATAATTTTTACCTATTCATAATTGGAACACTTTGTTAAATGAGATATCAAGAAATATTTCAAATGTGCTAGTTTTGTGAATACATAGAAGATAGCAGTTTAACATAATGATGACAAAATAGTGATTATTGAAGTAGATACAGTTTATCTAAGAATATTACAATGTTAAATTTTATCCCTTTTAAAATGCACACTTTACGGTATTTTCAAAAGACAAAGTAGAGAATTAAAACACGTTTTTCTAATGAGTTTTATGTTGATAACTTCTTGAGTTATTGAATCGTAAGATCTATAGATTCCAAGTATGTCAATAGAGGTCATTCCAATACAATTATTCTTCAATCCACAGATTAATATCATAAGTTGATTAACTCTAATTTTCTTACTCAATTCCAGTATTAGCTAAATGTGTACTTAGTCTAGAATCTACTGAAATGTTATGCATAGTATACGTCCAAACTACGAAGGACATTTTTCTGTATATAATACAACATACTGAATAGTTTTCTGCATCATGCCTAACTATTAAGTTGATGATGTAATCCATAGTGCTAACAGGATAAGAACATTATTTACCAACCAACTTTAGATGAGCTCCTATAAATAAGATTATTTCCCTTACTTAAATATTTATCAAAGTGTACTATAAATATTTCAAAAATGAATAAGGCGAATAATATGTCACTTGTTTCTCATATATACTCCACCAAAATGTTAACTCAATTTCTTTTGACTTATTAGCTATATTAAATAGATGTTTAAAGATTGTTAGCTACTAGTTTAAACTAAAAACTATCAACATTCATTAGACATTGTTACTTGTGTTTCTTTCTACCAAACTAAAATATGACGGTTCCGTTCTAATGTTCAACAAAGTATAACAGTAGATACGTGTAATCTTTTTTTGTTTTTGTAGTGGGAATCCAGTGATTCACGATCCTAATTTTACTCTATTTGTCCTATAGGGCAGTCTTCATTTTATATTATCAGTGAGTTACCACATCATTAGGGAAATACTTGTTAAGTAATTGAAGTATTAATTTTTTTAACGGTTACTATTGCCCCCCAAATGACCTGGTATGGACGAGAATGGGGAGAGTCCGCTCTTCCTCTCGAAATGCTCTCACATGGCCACGCGTATATAGCCTCTGTCAGGGAAGTCTTACTCACTGCCTTCTTGTGACGGGGGTGTTGCTTACGAAATTGAGAGGACGAAAAGTGAATGTCCGGTGCTTCAACAAGGTTGGTGGACACGCAGACTCCACACAGGGGAGTTGGAAAACCCTGATTCCGAACCAATGGTTCACATGGGCTCCAGTATCCTGAAAGGACAAATGGCGTATGAACTAATTATTGGTCACCGGCTACCATGGGACTGCATCTTCTGACGTTGCTCCACTGACTTGTGGATCAGACCTATGAGTCGAAGGCTCCGGGTGTGTCCCCTAGGAGAACCACCTGCTTCTGTTTGGGCACGCGGGCAGTATCGCAGCCCACACAGAGATCAAATGACTTGTGTGGCACATATGTATTCGGTGTCCCCTTGTACCAATATCTTGTGTTCAAATAAATAAATAAATAATAACTGTTACTATTGAGGGTCCGAAATCTATTCCACTTACATTCGTTTTACTAGCTATGTAGTATCACCAGTCCCTAAATATGAGGGTGGTCCATAGTTGAGTAGATATAATCGTATTTGGTAAACCAGTTATGTATACTACCTTATTTTCAATACCGTTGACTTCGTACATCATAATTTCTCACTTGAACCTCCGAAAATCTACACTGAAACTTGTCAATTAAGTTGAATTAATTATCAAATTATAAAATTTAAGGACATTTCACAAATATATAATCATTTGTTTTTCTATTTTATTCTTAGTGACAATAATTCATCTGATTATGTTATTAATGGTGGACATTCACACAATCATAAAATTGATTTAAGTCAAATTATTTGTAATAAAGAACTTGTTTACAAAGCTCCAGCATTTACACTTTTAGCCTGTTTGGATAAACAACCTGATAAATATGATAAACCAGAAGTGTCAAATGTAAGTCATCTACCAAATAATATTTATTCATTTCATGTAAAGTTTAGTTTTATTTGCTTTCGCTAACGACGATCGGTAGTTGCCGACGTTATGTGACCTCGTTTAGAAGCAACCACAGTGACCCATATACATGCACTGTCTATCATAATCTATATCACGAGTTCCAGTACTCCATCATACATACACATTTTCATTCTGTCTTTTAAAACCACGTTGATTATGACCGACTGATTGTCTTCTAGTCCATCACATTGGGATATTACAAATATATTATTTTGTTTATTGAGAACGTAGTTCAAAAAGATAGGATTTAGTGATATTCGTAAAGGAATACTGGAACTCAAGATCTATATGACAACACAAAGAGAATACATCTGGGTCATTCTAACCGATTCTGATTTATGTCTCTCTACGAAATCAACTACTGATCACGGTTATCGCGTGGTTGTCTGGACTTACAGACATAGCCCAGTCGAACAATAAGTGACTTAATCGAATAGGATCATGTTTTTATTTGTCCATCCATAACACAATTATAACTTACTCCTATTTCAACTATTATTATAGCTCGTGATAGGTGGTGTTCGAGTACATCTTATGCATACTATAACCACCTCAGTCTACGAAAATGTACAAACTTATTATTCGATTTGCCATTTTTACTTAATACCCTATATCTAAACTAAACATTGATCACTCGATTGCTTCACGATACACAAATGGTTCAAAGGCATCAGCGTCTATGTGCATGCATTTATACAATCCAGTAAATGCCTGGTAATATTAATTTAAAAGGTCGGAACTAAGTTTCGCTGGATTTAATTGCGTATTGCGTTTGTACTGGCCTTTGTGGCTGTTTTAATAATATATCTCATTGGTCTATAAAGTGTGTGTGATTTTCAAAGTAATAGACTGTTTAATAAACCATAGTTACTGATTCGTGTAAAATTTAACTACTAAAATCCCCCAATTTTACACTTCATAGATTGATTTGACGAAATTTAACTGTAGCCAATAGAGTGATGTACTGATACGAAATGGATTTCACTGAACAACACAAAATATCAACAATTATAGTTATTTACTTCAATATTTTGTATGGATTTCAAAAGATATAGTCTGATACGTGACTGGCGTGGATTTGTATTAAATAAAAATATATCTATTACTTAAACACATTTATAATCAACCGAAAATATGATAAGTTCATGGATAAATAATTTATATTGTTTTAACAATAGGATTATTTAGACGATTAAATAGCATAATTCAGAACTAATCAACGTCCTAATTGACAATTATTTCATTGAACCTTTACCCTAAAGTAGTATATGCAATATCATTTTTTTACGGTTGAAATCACGAGTTGATCTACGCTAGACAACCATTAAAAACTGGAAGCACTGGACGACTGTTTCGTTCTAGTATAGGATTTTTCATTGATGCATATCCACGATCATGCACGCGTGACTCGAGCTCAGGAACTTCAGTCTTGCATACGAAAGCTTAACATCTAGACCACTGAGTTGGCATCCAATGGTGTTACTGCATAACTTCAATCAATCCATGATATTGCGCCACCCTTAATTCAATGCATGAGGTGGATATCTACTTCACACCAGACACAGATTAGACTCCATACTAAGACGAAACGGCTATCCATTGCTTCCAGGTTTTTAATGGTGGTCCAGCTTAGGCCAACTCGTGATTTCAACTGTAAAAATACTACAATCTCCACAAATCCTCACACTTATAATATCGTTTTATCAGAGTGATTCTTAACAAGCTTATCAAAATTATTTTACAAAAATGCTAATTACTTATTGAACGCAGCTTATTATTCTTATTATTAACATGATTTGATTTATTTATTAATTACCTTTTATTTTGTAATTGTTTAACTATCTTTGTTTGTATTCTTTTCCAAAATTTAAAATACATATATTTACATTTAAATTTGTTTCATTCAATTCATTAATATGTAGTTGTTTAAAGCAACAATTAATAATCAACCTGTAGAACCAATATTTGATATCAAATATGAAGATCGACTAGTTCAGATTAACCAATCAAATGATGTTGAAAATATAGTGAATAGTTTAACACCAATAATTAATTCGAATGGATTATTATCGTCAACACTAGATGAACGTGTATGGGACACGGGAAAATGTAATCGAATTAATCAAGATAATCAACGTCAAGAAGGTTAGTTCATTTTGATTTTAATAAATATTTTGTTGAATTTATTGAAAGTTGATTTATGGAGGGTATAGTTTGTCAGGTCACTTGTCAACTAAGTAGGTCAATGGTACCATTTTTGACTGTAACACCAACTAATGAAGTTTGAACTATAGATACACTTTAGTTATGAGTGTCAATGAACACTAAACCCATGGTCAAGACTTCTTGTCGTCTGCCACCGATCTTATAAATGTGAGAATTATCTTTTATGAAAGAAAAATGTATTGCGTGTGTGAACCCTATATTGAGAATGTCTGCTTTTCCACAAGGTTCACACTTGTTGTTGAAGTTTTAACTTATTTTTACTTCGGCTGATACGATGTATTAACTACTAGCTACAACCCATCTATTCTATGTAACTATTGTAATCCATTTTCGGGTTTATTTTTTCTACTTAGTACAGTATAAATGAGAATTAACTGAACGAAATGATGACCTATTAAATGCTAGAAAATACTTTTCATACTTAAATCTTAAATGTATTTCTCTGCCTAATTTGTTATTTTTTTTATAATTCTTTACTGATCCTACTTTCTGAACATAGATTTACGTCGAATGCAAAAACTCACTGAATTCTTATGTGCACAACGTCAAAAAACAACCACGTGTTCAGAGATACCAACTTCTAAAGAAGTTAGTTTCTCTTATATTTTATTACTCGAGTAATATAATTATCAAATTTATCAATTTTCTTGATTCATAGAATACATGTGTGTATGAAATAAATCATTTAATTAATTGAATGTTGATAGCATCCAACTTGCAATCTTTGTTTCCATGTTCAAAATGTGTTCAGTCTAGTTCAGTTTGACCAACCAAAAAGTATTTTCAAGATGTTTTGATTCTAAAGCTTTCACTACATTCTTCGTAGAAGTATGTGATGATGATATTATTTTGAAATACAATGAGTAGTTTACGAATAATCCATTCAAATAAGAAAATATAACACTTCTAAGATCTAAAGCAATTAGTCCCTTTTATAAATTTCGATAGAAAAACTCCGTCTTCTCACTGTTCTATCGAAACTTCTAAGATCCTCTTACTGGATTAAAAATTTTATTCATAAATATTTTACACAATACATTTGTAAATCAAACATAGAAATGATGAATATCTGTGCTTGATTATGGATTATTTTAAAAAAGCATTCAAAGTAGCTACATAAAAGCTTCTTTCTTTTAATAATATTTCGTTTGCCAATCTAGACAGATAGGTTTATTGTGAATATGAAAAACATCTCAGTAAGATCTATAAGAATTTTAAAACAAGAGTTAATCACACATCAACAATAACCACTTCATTACATTTTGTACAAACTGAAGGAAATAACAGTAAAAGAAGATTAATCTAACATTACCTACAAAATAATTTGTTCTACACTGTGAGATACTACACTGAACAAACTAGACGTGTGTTCACCTAATTATCCACAAATGAAGACTGGCAGTTAAAATATACGACAGAAGTGACCTTTATAAATACACTTAGGTATATAAAGATAAAATCTTAAAGAATGACGGAGAAATTGTTAGGAGCATGTAATTCAGGTATATTTGAATTTATGAAACATACCGAGTTCAAGTTGTCACCAAATGTGGCTAACATCCATGACCAGTGGTCAATTTATCGGGAATCCGAAGATATCTAAAAAAATATGAAGACACATATTCACATACAAGATCACTAGGATAGGCTAATTTGGCACTTGTAAAAGAGATTACATTTCAAGTAGGTCCTGTTGATGTTATCCTGAATGACTACATAAGGTGTGCAATTAAATTGCCCTGTTCAGAGGACACAATAACACCAAACTTTTTCCACCCGAGTTACCGGATCTCGAACATTCCTTATTGTTAATAGTAATTTAAGATCTCAGTACTATTGGTAGTACTAAAAACATATTTTGTAATGAATGGACATCCCTAGTCAGCGGTCTTTATCACAGAAGGGATAATAGGCTTAAGTAAGTCATTAAGTAATGTGTTATTTTAAATTACTATGTGAAGACCAATTTAAAAATAATGCTTAGTCGAGCAGCTATTGAGTGGTTTCTAATTCTTGCATATCGAAACAAAACGGTAAAGCTGAAAGCGGACTTTGTTAATTTAATGAGAACTTCCGTTCAGTTTTTGAAGGTTGGCTATAAAATAGTCAGGTTCCGAGTGTGTGGAAGGCATACAATAATTGTATACATCTCTTAGCTTACTACAATTTAATAAAATAAAATCACTACAAGATGTAGTTTACGTATAATCTTTATCTAAATCACAAACCGATCTAACTTAGACAACCATTGAAAGCCTGTAATCAATGGACGATCGTTTCGTTCTAGTTTGGGACTCCTCAGCTGTGTGAACCTATGACCTTCAGTCTTGAACGTTAATGCCTAAACGTACATAAACTTTTCTGCGCAGTATCTTTTATCGCTCGAGAACATAACCAACTGATTACTATTTACAGTACAAAATCAAACATTTCGATAAGTAAATGATATCTGTAAAATGTAATATATTTTCGCCGTACATTCTGAACAAATTGACCACACACATACTTTTTAGGGTATTTATATGTGAGAAGTAAAAAAGGTTAATGAAACAAACGTTCTAGTGAATATAAGTTGGTGGTTGTAAATAAAAGAGAGTGACAAATTCACGGCTAACGGACAACCAAGGGGGGTGAATTTCTGAACAACCAAACCATCTGTAAACCTAAGAATTGGTCCTTAACATTTCCTATATAACGTTTTGAAAGTTATGTTGATGTCAATTCTTTGTCTCATTTCAATTATACTTTTTTACTATCATTGTGAATATGAGTATTTACTTTCTACGTATCTCATAGTGCTTGACCCTAAGTGATAATGAAGCCGACTATCTTAGTATATTGCATTTTTCAAATCAACTTTATCTTCTTATTTCTTTATACAAATTTTTAAGAAATGACTACTTATTATTTCGGGTTTCATAATTACATATGGTGATCTTATCTCTTTTTTTTCGAAAAAACATTTAATATTTAGTGTCAGGCTGGGATTTACACACGTTTAGATTTACAGTGGCGTTCACAATCCAGCTTAACACCATCGAAATCAACAGTTAACCCGATTATTCGGTAAGTGAGATTTTTACAACTTGATTTATTCTTGATTCATCAAAGTGGATTGAGTATTGAAAGATTTACTAAGTATGTTTTGGTGAAATAATTACTGAAGATTTTCTAACTGTCAAAACTGCCTTGTAGACTATTATTATATATATTCTTATTGTATAATTACCCAATAATTGAATGACTGTATTTCTGTATTCTGTTGACTGTAAGCTTTCAGTGGACCAGTTAACTATTCTTTTGTGTTTTACTATTCCGTAATTATGGCTACTCACCTTTTTCCTTTGTCCTATTCAACTTTCGGAGGAGTTGTGCTCATGTTGTAATTTTGTGGTCATTTTGATGTGCAACCAGGAAATTAATCTTTATTGATGCACATACGGTATACTACTTTACTGTTGTTTACCGTATTGTACTGTCTGATGGAGGACTGGGTTGGAAGAACAGAATACGTTCTAGACTAATGGGATACAGGATTATTCTCAGTTTTAACTCAGTGTTAACCTTTTCAGTCTAAGCGAGTTATAGTCAAAGCTCAGGATGCTAGACGATAATCGAAATAGTATACGTGGGGTAGAAAAATATTGCAGGATTGTAATTGGGAAATTTCCTCTCTCGGGACATCTGTTAACTTTGTCCTTCAGGATAAGATCATTGAACAAAACTTATTCACTTTCATTACTTACAATTACCAATAATAAAAATGTTGTGAGCCCTCAATACTTCTTCAAAACGTCTTCGGAAATCAGAACAATCTTGAAAAAACTTCCATGTTCTAACATTATTTACAAACTCGTAGAAATTTCCCAAAAAAACGGCGGGTTATGTTTTCACAAACTTTACGAAAAAAGAAACAACTATTCGATTTTAATGCACATCTAAGAAATCAACGAATTACCTTAGAAATAAATGAAATTAATCCAGAGTTCCAGTTAACTACTAAGTTTAGAATAACTAATTTTACAAAATACCATGTTGTAACTCACTTGTTTATTGTTTTAAGCAAATTTTCATATATAGCTGAAAGTTGGAAGGACTAAAGAATGAAAAATCACTGAAATTGAACTAACACATTCACCAAAAATACGTCCAGGGTTTAACTCGCAAGTGCGGGATTGTTGATGCGCACTTACTAAGTAGTCCCAATAATAAGACAGGACAGTTGTTTACTGCTTTCAAATTTTCAATGATTATTTAACTTAAATCATTTCGTAATTTAAATGAAAGAACATACTTTTACTTGTCTCTGATGACCCATAGAATTGCAAAACAACAGATGATTAAATCAAAATAACGTCAGTATACTATTCACCTCGACTTAAGTTGTTAGGAAGAAAGTATATTGACTAAATTAATGCTAATATTTGTCCTATCAAGTATTAAACTAAAAAATGCAGCAAATCAGATCAAAATAGCTGTCTAAGAAACAAATTATGAATTACATGAGAGAGTTAATGTTACGTAAGTACTCAAAGTCTCGTGATTTCTAAATGATTTCGATTATTTGTGTGGTCGAGAGTATCAATTTCTACTTTAAATGCTATATATGTTTGAGAATCGAGGCGGGTGATCTCGATGCTTTCATGCATACAGACACGCACATGAACTGATCATGAGGATTGAGACTATATTTCATCTTAATTTTGATATAAAACATCTATGTAGTATTTAATCGTCTGGTGATTTCATTGCACAATACAAAAACATTTTAGCTGTATCATAATTTAGATCTCATTGTATTTTCATATCGGTTATACGTGGTCGATGAATTTTTATCAAAGTGACAATTTAAATTTACAATTTTGATACCAGTTAAGTAAAAGTGAAGATAAAAAACACAAAGAAACTACAGTAAACAAAACACCTATTTCTATTCAACTTAAATTCAAAGGTGATGATGTCACAGGGTCAGTCATCATAAGACTAAAAACTGCATTGTCAAGAACTTATCCTTCAGCTAAAATGATTGTCTTATCCAAAACAACACAATCAGAGATCAATAGGTATCTCTTTTATGTTACCACCAACTATCTATACAAATCCATATGTATCTGCAAAGCAGTTACATTGGTACAACAGAAAGGAGAGCCTACGTCCGATTCCAAGAACATATTCCAAAACGTCTAGGGTTAAGTAGATTAAAAGCATTCAGCAGTGCCATTTCGAGACATATAGATACAGAATATCAAGTGGATACATTGAATTCTTTCAAGGTGATTAATAAACAATCGTATTTTGATCCTCTGAAATTTGCCGAAGCGATAGCAATCAAACGTCTAAAGCTAGATGTATGTGTCCAAAAAGAAACAGTAATAAGCATTTCTTTTACCTGGTAACATTACATCGTTTTTATTGCATCATTCATTATTTCAACTTCTCAAGTTTTGATTACATCATTGTCATTTCTCTTGAATTCATGACTGACTGATTCGACTCATATTTTTCTTTATCACGTTTAATCTGTTGTCAGTTACTTTACTAGACAATCATCTGATGTTTGTTAACTCTATGATTTCTAGTCACTATCTCAATGTTCTGGAACTTTCCCTCTCATATTTCATTTTTATTTATCTGAAACAAATCTAAAACTTTATTACCTTTATCGGAATCTTTGATCTATCATCGTATACATATTCATATCTAATCACCCTCGTATTTATAAATATGTTAATACCTGTCATAACTTTGATTGTAAGCAGCTGATGAAAATCTAATGAAATAAAAATGAATTCATATTCTTCTACACCGAAATTTGTTTTTTTACTGTGCTCTCTTTGAAATTAATTTAGTTGACATTCATACTTGTAAATTATAGTCAAGTATAGTTGATTATAAAAAAACCTACACAAATGATCTTTCATATATTAAATCATTATTTTAGTTCTATAAGTCAAACCAAAACGTGGCATCAGTGCTTGAAGTCACTAACTTCTAGTCTGAACCATGGTGGTAGATGCAGACTACTTGGTTGGGGTCCGCGTGACTATCGTAACCAATGGTTGGAGATTCTTGGTGACATGGCTCAGAATCGATCACAATGGCGTAGGTGTATACACTCTCAGTCTTCCCTTAAACTAAGAAATTAAAATCGCTCCATATGTTTCTTTCCACGTACTAATTCTTTCTTCCTGTACTATATCCTTATTGCAATCTTTCTTTTATATATCACCACATCTGAATTAACTACTTTTATGAATCCGGTGTTCATCTTGCTGTGCTAATGAGGTATGGCAACTTGGACCGATGCATATATGTGCCTAGTCCTACGTTGTAGCTGACTGACTGACTGATAAGTCAATGAGCTTATTTTCTATATTTTGTATAAGTAATCAAAATAATTTAAGTGAACATTCATGTGTGTTTTTACTTATTTTAACTAGTTTCTTGTATTTCTAGTTATTACTTTAATGATTTATATCTATTGAGGGTTTTCGTTTTTCTAATTATTATTTCAGAAAATCTAAATCTCAGATCTCTTCACTCCCATTTCGTTAACTGACTGTATACATATATGAAGCCAATGAATCAATGTGAAGTTCGCTATTATTATTATTATTAGAACTGTTTGTTTTAATGTGTGTATAATAATAATCGCTTGTAAAATAAAACCAACCTACATTAAATTGTGTCAATGAATTGTTTATTAAAAGTAATGTTTATTGTACAAAGTGTTTTATTGTTTCCATGAATGATATATAAAGGGGATAAAAACATATATTTAGTTGTGTTGTTTTAAAAAAAAATTAGATCCTGGTCAGAATTGAATTTAATATACAACTGAAGAACATCTGGAACTCAAAGTAACTGTCAACCAACACCAAGGTCAGGATTTTCAATACAAATGTCAAGACAGTTCTATTGTATGGAGCAGAAACCTGGAGAACTAGGAAAGCCATCATCCAGAAGATACAGGTGTTTATTAACAATTGTCTACGCAAAATACTTCGGATCCGTTGGCCAGACACTATTAGTAACAACCTACTGTAGGAGGAAACAAACCAGATCCCTGCGGAGGAAGAAATCATGAAGAAGTGCTGGAAGTGGATAGGACACACATTGAGGAAAGCACCCAACTGCGTCACAAGACAAGCCCTCACATGGAATCCTCAAGGCCAAAGGAAAAGAGGAAAACCAATGAAGACATTACGCCGGGAAACGGAAATAGACATGAGAGTCATGAAAAAGAATTGGATGGAACTAGAAAAGAAGGCCCAGGACAGAGTGGGTTGAAGAATGCTGGTCGGCGGCCTATGCTCCATTAGGAGTAACAGGCGAAAGTAAGTAATGTATAAACTTAAATATGAAAAAGTATTTTAAACGAATCCAAGTTAATGATACAAATGAAAATGGATTACATGATGATCTTTGATAAATGAAAAGTAAAGAGACAGCTCTAGATAATTATGAGACTAACTAATTTAGCTGTCTAAGGTTGGAACAAATAATGAATGGTGAACAGGTTTTGCATCACTTAAATCAATCGGTAAGATGGTAAACTATAGGTTAACACAACCGTGCGATGTACCCATATGTGTCGACTGTTCAAAAGACCGGGTTATTGGTCATATATATACTTGTTAAGACATTTGTTCTATGAAAATTAAAAGGTCAACTAGACAGGTTAAAGGTAAACCGTAATAAAGAGAAGTAAAGTACACAAAAGCAATGTGATAACCACTCTGGATAATAAATCAGTATTAACAGGGCAGGTTAAGGGTAAGGACAAATTATTTTTGAACGCATAAAAGGGGTTTCAGTTTCTGTATAACCAAGACTTCAATAAACCTTAGTCTACGTCCTTGGAGGCTTTTGTACAACACTACAAATGCTTATTTGATGTCAACCTTATGACCAGACTCAATCAAATGTTTTGCAATGGAGGATGATGTCTATTTACCCTGTGGTCTTATTTGACCACTGGGATTTATTTGTTTCTGCAGCCATTTCGGTATGTGTTCACCCACTCTTAATTGCAGATCATAATTTCTCCTCCCTATGTACATGTTTCCAGACATACATGTAAATTGATAGACACAATGGGATGTGGCACAATCGCTTACGTGTTGTTCGGGCTTTTGGTGAAACATAGACCTTGCCTTTTCAATAATGACAAGTTGGGCTGCATAAAATGTCCAGTTGATGGTTAATTTAAGTCTCCGCTTCAGCATGACACTTTTTGATGCGCCTCTAAATGGTAAAATAATATAAACTCGTTTTTCTTTAGTTAAACATTGAATTATAAAATGACATAAAATTCAACCTACATTGATTCAACTGTCCATAAACAAGTTTTAAAAAAGACCAACATGAAAAACAAAAGAGTTAAAATAATATTGTTCTTGCATTCCCAAACGACTTGCTTTCTATTCCCGTTCTTCCTTTCTTGATCTTCCCAATCTTCCACTACCAGACACTACATTCCTGACTCGCGTTATATACTACTTATGTCAATATAAGTAGCACACATCAATATTAGTGAAATTAAGTGAAAACTAAAAAAAATTATTGAAAAGAAAACAAATAATAATGATCATTGGTAAGTATGATGTGTAAGCGAGGACGATAATGATTGGTTGTTTGCTTAGTCAAACATGCAGATAGTATGATAGGTATTATATGAGTTATATATTCCCCTATCCTTATTATTATTGATTGTTCATTGTTGTTGGATTGTGTCGGATTTTGGTGTGGAAATATATATACATTCTAGTCAGGCTAATCACGTGTTCTTGATCTGAGCTTTGTTGAAGTCCTCTAGAATAGATACTAGAAAGGAATCGAGTGTAGATATTTGTTTAAGGTAAATTAACTTCCCATACGTGTAAATATGGAAAACTAACCGTTATAACAATAACTAATGTGTGAGTATACACTATTGGAACTGATTTTACATAATATCATCTAAAATATTCTTTAAAAGATTTTGATTGTTTCACAGATATTAGAAAAACTGTCAAGTTTCTCATGTCATAACTTAGTAAAATAGATAAAGGTTTTTTAATAACTAGCCATAATATATCATAGTCTTATGGCTTATATTGTCTTTTTTTAATGTACACTTATGTTAAGCAACTTAACAAAACAAAAATGTTTGATATATTTCTAAATGATCTTATTCGATTGTCATTTATAAAAGTTGACAGATTTGTCTTCTTTATTTGGTATCTTATTCATCAACTCAATATGATGTGTCAGTTATGTGGTAGTTTGATTCTAGTTAAGCAAATTGAAATTTCAATGAAATAATACATTCTAAATACTCTTCAAACAAATTTCCACTATCTCTTACAATAACTTTTAACCTAGTTCACAACTGTTGAGATTTAAGAGTGTAACACGCTTACTTTCAATTCACCCGACGATAACATGAGGAAACATATGAACATTATTAGAATTTTAAATTTGTGTTTGACATTCTATCATTTAAGATGAAAGTTTTTGTGAGGATGGCCTACAGGTGAACTCGTGGAAGCTCTAAGTAGCTCAGAAATAGCCGAAGATATTCCATCCAATCATCTTTTGGGAGAATATTCCGGAATCTCTACGTGTAGCTTCCCTATTGGACAAATGCTAATAACCCCTGTATATGGATCGGAGGACTATAATGATAATTTGGTTTTTACTAAACACTATAAATACCTGACAGATTTGTACCATAATTGACATTGTTTGAAACAGCATTCCTTCCACTTGTCTTCTGCTTTATCATTAGGGACTTATGAGGGTTCTACCGTTCGAGTTCTCAAGTTATACGCGGTATATTGAGAATTCAAGTTCTAAATATTACACTTTTGTAGAACCTGACTCAATAATGCGCGCACAGTGAAAAAATTATCATTCTTTATTGATCCTATTCGGAACTTGACTAAATATTTACATCATTTAACAATTAAATTTGTTACAATTTCTTAGATTTTTAAGAATGATCAAAACAACAGAGAAAAAATCTACTTTTATATTAATACTCTGGGTTCATTTTTGAAGAAAAAGTCATAACAATAACGATGTTTTATAGAAAGAAAACAGGTGTGACGATTAGGAGTATTTGAATTATAGTACGAACTAAGAATACCTTAAATGGAGTACTAATGTTTTGTCATGAAACCTGTGAAAAACTATCTGGGATTTAGTGGAACAGTAAGACGTTTGTATGAAAATAACAAATTCTAGTAGAGCATTTTGATGTAAGCCAATTAAACTGAAAGGACGATGAAAGGCTAGAGGGACCACCAACGTCATTTATTGATAAAAACAGTGAATATATACAAAGTCTATTATACTTTCTCATTGGTTATTCATTTAATGTGAGGTAATGGTCGTTCATATCGCTAGGATCCCACGAGAATCCTTCGATAAAACTTATATAATCCAGATAAATACTGAGAAAAGATTTCCCAATCAGTGCACGCCACGATAGCTTCCAGAAAATTGACGGATTTCGTATTAAGATCTGGATGATTACTTTATTACTTAATTTGTCATGTTCCCGGAGTTTAGTGGTTATCAGTAAACCTATAAACATGATTGTTTTATGTACATAAATGAACATTTATATTTCTGAGCTTTTCTCTATTGTTCGAATTCAGGTGGAGTCATAGGAAGTTATTAACAAGAGTTCAACAAGCAGACTTATTATATACGATTTCATCAAAATGTGAAACGATACAGTAACTGAAACATTTTATTACTGAGGTCTTCCAAGATCATCTTGAACACTGAGAACGAAGATGGAAGAAGTGTTCTTTTTTTACAAATTACGAGTATTTAGAAAAGATTAGGATTTGTTCAACCAATGTGTCTTAATCAGTTTTAATAACATCAATTTACGTACTTAGTAAACAAAGTAGTATGTTGAAATTCTTTAAAAAATGATGTCAGTAAAAGTCAAATTTTTTTAATAAGATGTGGTAGACAAGCATAGTCGCAAGGAATTTTATGGAATTCTTCATACGATTCCGGTGTTGATTGCGTCTTTGAATCATGTTTCAACCCATTTAGCCCCTATCTACTAGATCGACTTTTATTCTGTAACATTTAAATGCCTTCATTCTAAAACCTACAAGTCACCTACCAATTTCAGTTTCACTTTGGGAAGGACAAGAGGTTGGATGATCTGCATTGGTCATGGGAATGGTGTTCTCTCATTTGATGCAACTTACTTTGGAATTCACCGAAGGATGGGGTTTCAATCACGTGTTGAAGTAATTAGTGCATTCGTTAATGATTCAGTGGGAATGTCGATAGTTATCTGGCATGTGAAAATTTTCAGTGTCCACATGAATCTTTTATTTTGAAAGACAATAAAAATGAGGACATCAATAGCAAATTCGCCATTAAGTAGTTTAAAAACTGTAATCGAGTCACCTGTGGTCCTTCTGTATGACAAGGGAAATACGTTTAGTTTAGCCAGTCTATTGCTATAAAGGAACTTTGGGATTCCAGGGATCAGCTTAGTTGCTGTTTTTTGAACATTTTCCAACACCTCACTGTCTTTTTTTAGTCATGGACCAGCTGCTTACAAACTACTCGAATTTAGGAGGAACGAACACTGAATGTAAAGTCGAAAACTTCTTACACCGACATGGCTAAAGGCTCTACGTATTGAATATGGGGTTCCAAAACCGCTGACGGCTATCACACGGGAATGTACAGTAGACTTTTATTTATT